CTTGCTGGTTCCCACAGTATGTGCTCCTGTGTAACTCTCTAACCAGCCATCCCAGTGTGTGCTCCTGTATAATTCTCTGTCCAGCCATCTGTCTCCTTCTAGAGGCAATGATTTGGCCTGTGATGCTGGTTCTCTGATGGGTTTAAGGAGAATTGTCGGTTGCTCCATTTGTTCAGGCTTTACTCGTCAGGACAGAGTGGAGACTTCTTAGATCTTTCCACGAAGTTTTCCTTTGAGTTCGGGATTTGCTATTTTGCAGAGGCTCGTCTTAAACTCATGAGTGATCTCTCTGCCTGCCCGCTGAGTGCTAGAATTACAGAGAGAGCTATACATATATTGATGTATAGACAGATATAGACATAGACATATTTACACAGAACTTGGGTTGGTAGTGTGTTTACCTGACATGCACAAGCCCTGGGTTTGATCTCCAGCACCACATAAGCCAAGTAGAGTGGCATATGCCAGTAATCTCACCACTCAGGAGGTGGAAGCAAAAGGGTCAGAAATTTAAGGTCATCTTCAGCTACTAGTGAGTTTGAGGCCAGCCTGGGCTACATAAAATGCTGTCTCAAAAAGAAAAAATTTAAATAAACTAATTCTATACCACAATTAATAATTCACAGGGCCAATGAAATGCTCTTCTGGCATGTAAGAGGCTCTGAATTCAATCCCTAGTACTGAAAAGAAAAGAGTCATTCATATAGCACTATATTACAGTGTATTTGTCTGTATGTGTGTATGTATCTGTATTTGTCTATAATTTTGAACTCACTAGTGATATTTATATTTTCTATGTTTTTTTTTTTCTCTCCAGTGCTGGCTACTGGACTTAGGGCTTTTGGGCATCACAAAACTAAATCCCCAACCCCTTTCCTATGCTTTTTGTTGCTAGTCTGAACTTGAGTAACCCTACTTGAACTCAAGAACTCCATTTAGCTTTCTTTTTCATGCTTTTGTGTTGTTTTATTTTTGAGACAGTTTCCTTATGTAGCCCTTGCTGGCCTTGACCTCACAGAGACCCACCTGCTTGTGCCTCCAGGTGCCAGATTTAAATGTGTGTGCCACCATGCCCTGCTGTTTTTAAGACAGGGTCTCACTCTGTAGCCCAGGCTGGCCTTTCCTGATACCTACTGAGTTGCTGGGATTGCAAGCAAGCATCATCAAGGCAGGAAGCACTTCTTGTACATCAGGTCTAATAATGAACTCCCTCAGCTTTTATCTTAGAAAGTCTTCATTCCTCCTCCATTTTTTTGAAGGATATGTTTGACAGATGCAGTATTTTGTTTGGCTATGTTTTTTTTTCTTTTTCCTGTCAGCATTTTAAGTATGCCAATGCACTGTCTTCTTGCCAGTCAGATTTCTGCTGAGAAATTCCTTCATAATATTTGTAACAGTTTGCTTTTCCTTATGATGTATGGACTATAATATCTCTTAGCATGGGTGTCTTCGGCTCACTCAGTCAGAATTCTCTGAACCTCTTGGGCATGGTTATTCATTCCTATCCTCAGATAGAAATGGGAAGTTTTCAGTGATTATTTCTTAAAATATGCTCTCTGTCCCTCCCACCTCCATTTTTCTCTTCATGAAACTCCCAGAATGCATCAGTCTACTTGATCGTGTCCTGTAAGTCCCTTGGAATTCTATTACTTTTTTCATTTTTATGTTTCTTGAGACCAGGTTTCACTAGGTAGCCAAGACTGGCCTGAAACTCAATATATAACACAGGCTGGTCTGTAAATCTGGTAACCCCTTGCTTCTAGCCTTCCTAGTGCTGAGATTACAGGTACACACCACACGCCCTGCTCTTCATGATCTGGCAATTTTCAAATTACCCACTTGACTCTGAGTTTGCATATTCTTTTTCTTTTAACATCATTTGGGCTGGCAAGATGCTTAGTGGGTAAAGGCAGTTGTTTCGAAAGCCTGGCAACCTGAATCCAACCGCACTCGCTAAGGTCCATGTAAATGGTGAGATCTGATTCTGCAGTTTTCTTCTGACTTCCACGTGTGCACTGTGGCACATGCATCCCACCCCCACATGCACATCACACACACACACACACAAATAAAAAACAAATTCTTCCAAAAAGAGAACATTTTAAAATCTCATTTTCAAAAACAGAGGATGTGGCATACCTCTGTAAAGGGACAGCTTTCTTTCTTTCTGGTTGTTGTTTTGTTTTGTTTTTAAGACAGGATCTCACTATGTAGCTCTAGCTGTCCTAGAACTGGATATGTACATCAGGCTGGCCTTGAACTCAGAGATAGATTGCCTCTGCTTCCCAAGTGCTGGGATTAAAAGCATGTGCCATTTTTTATAATTTTTTTCAAGACAGAGTCTCACTATGTAGCCCTGGCTGTCTTGGAACTTACTATATAGACCAGGCTGGCCTTCAACTCACAGAGATCCACCTGTCTCTGCCTTCTCAGAGCTGTGATTAAAGGCAAGGACCACTATGCCCAGACTTAATACTAATTTTTAAAGAAATGTCTATGTGAGTTTGTATGCTCCATGTGTGTGCAGGTGCCTATAGAGGCCAGAGTCTTCTGGAATTCCCTGGAGCTGGTGGTTGTGAGCCACTTGTGTGAGAGCTGGGAACCCAACCCAGATCCTTTGCTAGGGCAGTAAGCTCTCTTAACCACCGAGCCACTCCCCAGCTGCAGAGGATGTCTTTTAAGACTCGATTCCCTCCTTTTACTGAGGAGCTGGGGATCTCAGGTGTATGCAGCAAAATACTTTACTCATTGAGCCATCCCTCTGACCCATGCAGATTCTTTTGCTCGCTCAAGTCTGTTATTGAAATCTTCTAGTGCAGTGATTTTCAACCTTCCTAATGCTGCAACCCTTTGATACAGTTCCTCATGTTGTGGTGACCTCCGACCATAAAATTATTTCATTGCTGCTTCATAACTGTAAATTTGCATATATATATGTATATGATATGCAGGATATCTGACATGCAAGCCCTGTGAAAGGGTTGTTTGACTCCCAAAGGGTTTATGACCCACAGGTTGAGAACCTCTGCTCTAGTGTATTTTTCAATTATTTTAATTTTCCACTTCAGAATATTTGGCTTCTTAAAGCTCCTCTCTGCCGATGCCCTCAAATTCTTCCTGCATTATTTTTTTCCTGACTCTAGTGAATCGCATTCATACTGGGAAACACTTTCAATAATCACCCCAGCTACATTCTGGGGTGTCAGAGGGTTTTCCAATGCTTTGGAGATGTCACTTTTTTTTTTTTTTTGAGACAGGGTCTCTCTACATAGCCCTGGCTATCCTGGAACTCACTATGTAGACCAGCCTGGCCTCAAACTCGAAGATGTCCCTACCTTTGCCCCCTAAGTCCTGGAATTAAAAGTGCATGCCACCACATCTGGCTGGAGGTGTCTTTTCTCATTAGCTTTAGGAGTTAATAATCTCTTACGCCCCCTGGTGTCGACTTCAGTCCTGCAGGCACTCTGGCACTACAGCAGCATGCTTCCATGTGTTCAGTGGCCAACAGGCATTCAGATTATGTCGAATTACATGTGTAAGGTTTTTTGTTTATTTTGTCCTGGAACTCAATATGTAGATCAGGCTGATCTTGAACCCATAGAGATCTACCTACCCCTACTTCTCACATCCTGGGATTAAAGGCACGTACATATGCTGGGTTACATGTCTTAAATTAGGGTAAGCCTGGTCACACAGTTCAAGAAGAGATGTGGGAGGGAGAAGAGAAAGGAAAAAGGAGGAGGTGGGGGAGAAAGGTGTATGAAACACAAGTGCTTTGAGAAGTCTACATTTTAAATTTATTAAATTACATTTACTTATTGTGTGTGTGTGTGTGTGTACACGGTGTGCCATGGTACAAGTGAGGTTAGAAAGTAACTTACAGGAGTCAGCTTTCTCCTTCCAACTTGTGGGTCTTGGGGCTCAAGCTCAGGTCATCAAGCTTGGGAGCAAGCGCCTTCTCCCTGAGCCGTCTTGCCAGCCCAGTCTTCTATAGTTTTAATCAAATTTATAAGCACTGGGTAGTAGTTTATCTCGTGCTCATTATCTTGGACAAGCCACTGTCTCTGGCAGCCTGTGTCCATTTTGTGAAACGTGGATATATTTCTTAACTCCCAGGGTGCTTTCATCTGAGTGTAAAGTTCCTGGTATATCCCAGCGAGGCTGAGTGGCAGGGTCGCCACCTGCTAGATTAAGTCACAGGCCATACCAGTACCAACCAGAATCACATTCTGGTTAAGTGGGCACAAACAAAGAACACTCCTAATCCCGAAGGCAGGATCCCAGATTAACAAAAGAGAATGGGTATCTATATTTGATAAAGGAAAGCTGGGTGAACACTAAACTTCCATGTGAGAAACTGCCATGTAAGAGAGACCAGGCCTAAATCAGAGCACAGGAAACCAGGCAATCTTACTGTCTAAGCACTAGGATCAAATCTATGACATTAATGGTGCACTATCATCTTGGGTTCTAAGAATTTCCATATTACCCCATTCCCAATCCCCTGCTCCCTGTCACTGTCATTTTTCCTAGCCACAAAGGTGCTCAATCAATAATCTGAAGTTTGAAAGGTCCTCATCTTGATACAGACTTCCAAGATTCAAGAGGTCAAGGCTGTATCAAGAGGCCACATTAACCTCCAGCTCTAGGCCAGCCTCCCTCAGATGCCAACAATGCACATGTGCAAAGCACATGGATTAACTAGAGGTCAGAGTCTACCCTGGCCCACCACACACCCACCGAGCGACCTTACTTTCAACTGTTTCATCTTCTGCCCTTGAGGGTTTCTGTGGCAACCAAATGAGATAAAGAACGGCATGTACAACCAACAGCCTATAATGGATGTTCAAATGACTCATTTCCTCTCCCCTCCTCTTTAAAGTTCCAGAGGCTCAGGCTGCTGTCCTTCTCATTTCAGAGCCGAATTCAACTCCTTTGCAGACAGGCTGCCCTGAACAATCTCCCCAGCTCCCCACATCTCCAAAAAAGCACACAGGTTCTTCTCATGGAAGTGTTTTACTGGTGACCACTGAGGAGACAGATGCAAGTTGGGGTGAGGAAGACAGGTAACAAACATGGGGAGTATGAGGGCCCCTGGATTATGGATCCCTGAGGCTTCCTATCCATTCTTACTGAAGGAACACAAGCCTCTTCTCAGACAGAGGAGGCCTCTTCAATAGGAGGGCCATGCGCCCCCAGCCTAGGGTTCTAGAAGTTGATATTGGATGAGGCACAGCAGTTGGGAACTCACAGGCCACTGTAGTGTATCTGAAGTTAGATGGCTTTGGAGGACCTGCAAACAGTGACTTCCCACAAAGTCAGGGGACTGATGCCCCAATAACAAGAGCATGTCCTGAGCCTATCCCACTTTCTCCACCCCTGAGAAAGTGAAGTGAAGACTGGGCACTCTGATTTTCCAAGGCAAGAAACTGCCTGGGAGGAGGCAGGATTTCCTCATTTCAAAGGCAACAAGGGACCACTCTACAAAGTGAAGGGTTTGCAGTCAAGGTGGCCGCAGCAGGTGCTAAATGCCTCCTTCTCCTGTCAAGGTGGGTTATATGCTCTCCCTCACTCTCTAAGCAGGGTTCTCATCCTGCTCACCCAAGTGTGTTTTCTGATGTCGGATGAGGTTCGAGCTTCGGGAGAAGTGTTTCCCACACAGAGTGCACCGGTATGGCTTCTCCCCTCTGTGTGTTCTCTGGTGTGCACCAAAGTTGGAGATATCACTGAAAGTCCGCCCACACTCAGTGCACTCATAAGGCCTCTCACCCGTGTGGGTACGGTGGTGCACCCCAAAGCTGGAGCTGTTGCTGAAGCTCTTCCCACACTCACAGCAGATGTAAGGTGCTGGCTCCAGGTGGGTTCGGTGATGGACAGCCAGTGTGGCACTCTGGCTGAAGCTCTTGCCACAAATGTCACAGCGGTATGGCCGCTGGCCCAGGTGATCTTGCTGGTGTGTAGTGAGGTCTGAGCGTCGCCGGAAACTCTCCTGACACTTGGCACATTGGTAGTGCTTCTCTTCCAGGTGGATTCTCTCGTGCCGGATTCGGTTGGAGCTTCGAGAGAAGCTCTTGCCACACTCTGAACACTTGTATGGCTTCTCACCAGTGTGGATCCGCTGGTGTGTTCTGAGGTTGGAGGTGTTGTTGAAGGTTTTGCCACACTGCACACATATAAAAGGCTTCTCATCTGCCTCTGGGCTTGAAAAGGCAATGGGGTTCCCAGGGCCCCTGGCTCGGGCAGTGACTTTCTGCCATGGCATTTTGGGATGTTCTCCTTGAAGCTCCTTCGAAAGGCTCACCTGCCCATGTTCCTCCCCAGATGCAACCTGAGAACTCTCTGAGCCATCCTCTCTCCAAGGCTTCCCTGCCGCTTCCCCTTCCTCAGGCAGGAGTGCTTCTGGACTCTGCTCCTTCTCACTGCCCATCTCTGAACCCTGAGAACACAAATGTTCAACACTTTTAGTCCTTGGGTCAAGCCATCAAACCACAGGGAATCTTGCATTCTGGTTGAAGCAATGTATACCTCCCCCAGGAATAACCTCAACTAACTGGAATGCTTATAGAATGCCTTTATTTATTTAACTTTCAAGTGACAAACTTTCACAGATATTTAAGGCCACCCACCACTAACAGATGTAATCTGTGCAATCTGAATGTCACTCTTCTTAATACCATTAAACAATAGCACTCTAGACTATAATTTATGTGTAAGTAAGGTGCTTCCATTTAGAGATGAATTCAATTTCTTCCTGTCAAGTAGCCACCTATTCACTGATTCTGAAATGAACATAAGTAACTAGAAGTAGTTACTTACAAGACCCAAGTCGGAATAGTCTTACTGCTCTGCTAGCCCATTCCTCTCTATACCTTACCACAGTCTACCAACTGGTTAACACAACCTACTGCAGGACTTGAGCTCCGTCTGTCATGACATCAATGCCAACTTCTGCATCACACAGACTCATACACAAATAGCTACTTTCTTATATGACATACAACCATACTCACACCATACACAGATATCAGCTATACATACTACATACACATACAACCAACATACTGACATCAGTCAAAGATCACATACACATCCTTATCAGATACAGCCAATCAGAAGTATATCCAGAAAGCTTGCCATGCTTTCTTCTCATGTCTACTCCCACCCACAATTCCTTAGAAGGCTCCAGATTTGTGCTCACTTTCTCCTTTGTAACAGAATGTTATATTTATTATCGTAGTAACTTGCTATAACACAAGGCTGGGTGCTCAATTGTTTTTTTGAATGAGAAAGTAAATGGATGAGAACTTTATTTTTTTTAAAGATTTATTTATTTATTACATATACAGTGTTCTGCCTACATGCCAGAAGAGGGCACCAGATTCAATTATAGATGGTTGTGAGCCACCATGTGGTTGCTGGGAATCGAACTCAGGACCTCTGGAAGAGCAGTCAGTGCTCTTAACCTCTGAGCCATCTCTCCAGCCTGAGAACTTTATTTTTTGTTTTTTGTTTGTTTGTTTTTTCACAGGGTTTCTCTGAATTGTTCTGGAGGCTGTCCTAGAACTCGCTCAGTAGACCAGGCTGGCCTTGAACTCACAGAGATCCGCCTACCTCTGCCTCCAGAGTGCTGGGATTAAAAGCGTACGCCACCAACGTCGAATGAGAACTTTAATCTCTGCCCCTGTTGACTCTACTTAGAACTTTAGAATCTATACACAAGGAGCTATGTGGCCTCCATTAATTTCTTTAACTTTTTAAAAAGCAGGTTTCTCTATGTAGCTATGGCTGTCTTGAAACTCTCTGTATTGACCAGGCTAGCCTTGGATTCACAAAGATCCACCTTCCTCTGCCTCCTGAGTGCTAGATTTAAAAGAACGTGCCATGCCAGGCATTGGTGGCACACACCTTTAATCCCAGCGGTTGGGAGGCAGAGGCAGGCAGATCTCTGTGAATTCGAGGCCAGCCTGGTCTACAGAGCAAGTTCCAAGACAGCCTCCAAAACAATACAGAGAAACCCTGTCTGGAAAAAACAAAACAAAAAACAAAAACAAAAAAACCATGTGCTACTATGCCCAAGTGTACACTCTTTTTTAAAACTGTTGAGATCATATTTTACCATGTCTCTACTCAAGGCTGAATGCTGGGTAAATATAAGAGTAAGAAGACTGCCCAGGCATAGTGGCACATGCCTTTAATCACACCACTTGAGAAACAGAGGCAAGCAGATCTCTGTGTACTCAAGGACTGCCTGGCCTACATAGTAAGGAACAGTCAGAGTCACATAGTGAGACTCTGTCTCAATAAACACATAAATAAATAAAAGGACTGAGTTAGGGATTGGAGAGTTGGTTAAGAGCACTTGCTGCTCTTGCAGAAGACCCAGATTCAGTTCCTAGTACCCATATCAGGTAGCTCCGCTGTCTATAGTTTGCGCTCCAGAGGATCTAATGCCCTCTTCTGGTCTCCACAGGCTCCTGCACACACATGTGGTGCACATACATATTCTCAGGTGCACACACATACATATACATTTTTAAAACTGAGGTAGAAAAATGACTCAGTAAATAAAGACACTAGTGACCAAGCCTGAATTGACTTTGATCCCCAGGACCCACATGGAAGGGGACAGGAACCAACTCCTCCAAGAGGTCCTCTGAACCCCAATGCACACTGTAGCAAGTACAAGTGCACACGTACACACGTACACACACACACACACACAGAGAGAGAGAGAGAGAGAGAGAGAGAGAGAGAGAGAGAGAGAGAGAGAGAGAGAGAGAGAGAGAACAAATGTTTTTTTCTTTGTAAATAGTAAAATGATTTAAGGCTGGATTATGGGACCAATAAGACTGCTTAGCTACAGTTAAAACACTTGGCACAGAAGCCTGACAAACTGAGTTCAATGCTGGAACCACAGTAAAGAGAGCTGACCCTGAACATTGTCCTCTGACCTCCACATACGAACTGTGATGCTTGTGTGTCCCTCCCACTGCCACGTCCAATAAATAATAAATAAAATTTAAAAAGATTTAAGATCGTGATTACCACCCTCATACAGCTGTGACACAACAGAATGAAACCAGTCATGAACACAGTATAGAACGTTAAGTTCCAGTGCCGAGACAGTGCCTCAGCCACATATGTACCCATTCTTCAGGGCACACGGCACAGGTACAGGAGTATTAATTAATGTTTTCTAAAGGTTCTACAAAACATTAGACCTACAGATGAGCACTCCATATGCATCACCTCAATTCATTTTTACAACTTTTCTTTTCCTTTTTTTTTGAGACAGGGTCTCACTATGTAGCTCTGGTTGTCCTGGACCTCACTGTGTAGACTAAGCCAGCCTCTGTCTCATGAGTGTTGGGATTAAAGGCATGTGCCACTATGTCTGGCTTAACTATTCATTTTTCATACTTATTTTTTAGAAATGATGAAACTGAAACTCAGAGAAATTAAGTCACTCATCCAAGAACACAGTAATTGAAAGTCTATACTCCGGCAAAACTGAAGCCTAAACTCACCACTCCCAAGCTGAAGTTTTCACACCAGTACTGGAGGGAGAAAAGGGAGAAGAGAAACGATGCTTCGGCAGTTAGGATCACACGGAAATATTCCTCTGAAGGGGGCAGGGAAGCAACTTCAGAGAAGAGGTGGTATTTGAACCATGGCTTGCAAGATGGATGATGGATGAGCAGGAGGACCGGCAGGTACAAGGAGGGACTCCATCACGAACTGAAAAGACAATGCAGCTACAAACTAGGTCGTAGTCACATTGCACTTCAAAGATCTGAGGGAAAAGAGACCTAGTGCATATTGGGTTTTTTCTTGGAGCTCAGCAGCACAAGTCTGGAGCAAGCGCACAGAGAAGGGACCAGTTCTAGGAACAAGCCAGAAGACTTGCGGGCTTGGGGATCACAAATGATGAAGGATGAGAACCTGGATTAGAGGGAAGAGGTCAACCTGTGGCCTGAGAGATTAAAGTTCCAGATACGGGTACAAGTCAAGGGCACCGCGGGTAGCTTGGAAGGACCAGAGGCAGGGTGTGGAGAATAAGGAGCTACGTAGCGGGTCCATCAAAGGAGCCTGAGTCTGAAGTGGTCCGGGAGAGGGGACAAAGGCTGCACAAGTGTCCAGAGAGGCTGTCTGAATGGGAAGGACGGGAAAGTTGGAGGAGTCTGGCTACAGCGTCCTGGAGGGCTGGCGCTGGTTCAGACACGTCGATGGGCTTGGGGCTGGAGGCGGGAGAGCACGAGGGGCGACCCTAAAGGCACGGTGTTCGGGAGGGGCGACCCTAAAGGCACGGTGTTCGGGAGGGGCACGGAGTAGTCCAAGGCCAACAGTAACGGCCGGCGGGAGGCAAGGCTGGGCCGTCCGAAGACGCGGACGGGATCACGGAGGAGGGACGCACAGCCCCGGTGGCCTTTGGAACCCGCGGAGCGAAACAGCAGCTTCCAAGCCCTTGGCGAGAGCGAAGGGGCCACGCTCCGAGCGCCCCGCGTGTCGCGTCCGCCTCCCCCCACGTCACCTCAGCACAACCGCGACCCACCTCACGCGCGCAGCTCGGTCAGGGACAGCGCCGCCTCGGTGGGCGGGGGAGGGAGCCGGAGCCGGAACCCAGAGAGGACCCGCCTCCTCCACGCCAGGATTGGGTTCTGGGAACATCCTTCCTCTCTACGGCCAATAAACATTGGTCTAGGGCGCAGCATGCTGGGAGTTGTAGTCCTGAGGAGGTTTGCGTCGCTAAAAACATTTGCCCACTTCAGAGCACAACTGTGAAGCTGTCTTTGCTTCTAAGGTCATGAGGTTGCTTTTCTGTTTTACTTTTGAAATGGTGGCCCTCGATAGAAGCCTCTCAATTTAAGGTTATAGTTTAAAATTAAAAGAGCATGTACCTGGAAAGAAGTTTAAAGATAAGTATTCTGATATTTTTGTCCAAGAACCTAAGTGTCCCGGTCCAAGGACTAACCTTCAGCCAGGTTGGCTAGTGGCCCATACAGCGATTTTCTGTGTCCTACATGATCCTCTGTTAACCCAACAATCTAATCAGTCTGGATACAGTAGACCAGTAAAGTATTCAGAACTGGATTTGGTTTTGTTTTGCTTTTTGAGTCTTTTTTTTTTTCTTCCTTTTTTTTTATTTAAGATTTTTTGAGTCTTATTATGAAAAACAAAAATTAGGAGCCTGCAAGATAAGGAGTGTAGAGATTAATTGAATGTGTAAAATAACTGCAAGCTTTTCGTGTTTGCGTGATCTTTCAATGCTTGTCCTTGGAACTGGAAAAGTTTTAGGGCTAGAGATGGCTCAGAGGTTAAGAGCACTTACTGGGGGGCTGGAGAGATGGCTCAGAGGTTAAGAGCACTCACTGGCTGTTCTTCTAGATGGTCCTGAGTTCAACTCCCAGCAATGAGATCTGGTGCCTTCTTCTGGTGTGCAGGCATACATGCAGGCAAAACACTGCATACATAATAGTTAAATAAATCTTTTTTTTTAATTTTTTAAAAAGAGCACTTACTGCTCTTTAGGTGCACTTAGTTCAATTCCTAGCATCCACATCAGGCAGCTTATAACCTACCTGTAACTCCAGATCCAGGGATCCAATGCCCTCTTCTTACCTCCTTGGGCACCTGCACGTGAGTATACACACAGACACAGACATGCATGCACCCCCCCATCCAAAAAGAAAAAAAGAGAATGACAAGTTTTATTTATTTATTTGTTTGTTGGTTGGTTGGTTGGTTTTTCGAGACAGGGTGGCTTTGGAGGCTGTCCTGGAACTAGCTCTTGTAGATCAGGCTGGTCTTGAACTCTCAGAGATCCGCCTGCCTCTGCCTCCCAAGTGCTGGGATTAAGGGTGTGTGCCACCACCTGGCAAGAATGACGTGTTTTATAATCCCAGCTCTCTCTTGTATAAAATCCCTGACACAACTATTGTAAGGATTAGGTGAGTGGCTAGCTGGATAATTTCCTGCCTCCACAAATAGCTCTCCTTTCTGTTGGTAACTTTTCTCACTAGGTAAGACCAGTGGGCATTAGTTTTAAGATTGGCATCTTCAGCCAATTATTCTTGGAGCTGAAGATGTATGTGAAATACAAGTATCTATTATACACTATTAGTTTATAAACTGATAAAAATAAAACATCAGAAGGCAGACTCGGGAGTAAAACTGGGTTTATTATGAACTGTGTCTAAAGTTTGCTTGAACAGAAGCTGAGCTCTTCAGAAACCAACTCCATCATGTGTTTTCTCCACAACTTCCTTCACAATGAAGACAATATGCCAAACAATAAATACTAAAAGTTGTATTTAATAACTGTACAAAGACAAACAAAATATTCCCTCTGGGTCCTATATTGGCAAATTTTATGTATCACATTGACCAGGTCACAAAGTTCCCAGGTACTTCATCAGACATTATATTTGCTGTCCCTGTGAGGGTAGTTTGGACAACATTGACACTTAATCAGTAGACTGAGTAAAGCAGTTACCCTCCTGAAATCCAGTTGTAGCCACCCAACCAGTGGAAGTTCTCAGAACAGTTCTGTGGCTTTGGGCAGGACATCAGTTCTTTCCCTGCCTTGTACTGAAATTAAAACATTGGCTTTCTAAGTCTCCAACCTGCCGACTTCAGTCTCATACTTATTCATTTTCTGCCCCCACCCCTCACTACACACACACACACACACACACACACACACACACACACACACACTGTTGGTTCTGTTTCTCTAGAGAACCCTGGCTAATACTGGCACTATTGGAAAGAACTTGGAACAGATCTAGTTTCAGAGGAGTCCGGCTGCCTTTCCACCTGCAAACTAATGGAAAGATCCACAAATAGGCTGAATCACATACCTGGTGTTACTTGAAAGTGCCTTGCCTTTTGTTTCTAATCCACATTTTAAAGTGTGTGTGTGTGTGTGTGTGTGTGTGTGTGTGTGTGTGTGTTGATGTATACTTATGTGCAGTGTGTCGAAGGTGCCCTTGAAGGCTAAAAGAGGAAACTTCGTCCTCTAGAGCTGGAGTTCCAGGTGGTTGTCAACTGCCCAATCTGGGTGCCAGAAACCAAACTCAGGTCCTCTTCAAGAGCAATACCATGCTCTTAAGTGAGCAGTCATTTTTCCAGCCCTGAATTCATTACTTTATTGTCTCACCTTATAATCTTCCAAATAAGATGTCTTATTTGGTTTTGGATTTTTTTTAGTGGGTGGAGGGAATTAAGATAGGGTCTCTCCATACACCTCTAGCTTTCCTGGAACTCATTATGCAGACCAGGCTCATCTCAAACTTACAGAGGTCTGCCTGCTGGGATGAAAGATGTGCACCACCATACCCACCAATGTCTTGTTTTCATAAGGCCAGCTTTCTTGAAATCCGTAATCTCCGACCCAGAGGCTATTGTCAAATCTTGAAGAGTAATGGTCTTGTGGGTGTGTTGAGGTGAATGGCTCAAACTGTCATTTTTTTCTCACTGGGCCTCTCTGAACTTCATGAGGTATTCAGAAGGGCCAGAGCCATAGACTACGGAGTGACATCTGCCCAAGGCCATACAGCTAGACTGCTGTGTTTACAGTTGTGCCTATCAGCCCCATGCCTATGTTGAGGTTTGGGGGGACATTATGGCTCCTGGTCATCATGTAGGTTAATTGATTTTTGAAAACATGTACAGTCTGGATGTCTCCATTTCAAACTAGCTGTTGAAAACATACACTGTGGATATCTCCAGCCAATGCTATAAACAAGCATGAAGGAAACAGAAAACTATGGGGTGTTGACATCTCTGTTTCAGTCCTGCACAAAGAAGGGAGGATGCGTGATTTACAAGACATCTGCTTGTGAAGAGCTGGCTTTAGGAGTTAGTGGCCTGAACTGGGCGGAAAACAGAAGAACAGTCTTTGATGGAAGAAGAAGTTGGGGTCTGGGGCTGTAGCTTCACAACTGAAAACCCACTTAGAAGGTTGACACTGAGAAGTTCCTGTCAGGGTTTCCTCAGGTCCATAGCCGTGTCCCCTGAGCCTGCACTGAACGCTGCTGCAATACAACCAGTGTGTCCTACTAACCCTCTACTGATTCAGCTCTGTTCATTTCAAGAAGGCATCCACCAGGGCAATGGAAATGTCTAGTCTCTAGAAAATCAAAAGGCAACGTTCAGAATTGAGCCCTGGAAGAAAGGTGGTGCAAACGGAAACCACAGAAGGGTCTGGGTTTGAGTCAAAGACATGAAGTACTGAAGAAACAGGTGCTGGCCAGGAGACAGAGGCCAGGGTGCCCACGTGAGTGGATCACAGGACACAGTCCTACAAGGAAGGCGCCTTGAACCCCTGCAGGGCGGGGCCAAGGTTAGAGGGCCAGGTATCGTTGACTGGGAAAAGCTCAGGACCCTGAGGAGACAGTAAGGATGGATTCACCGTCAGGGACACGTCTCCGTTAGCTTTGCTTTTTCCTTCTTGTTTGGTGAAAATCGATTCATCTGATTTCTGTAGTTCAGTACAAATGATTAGAGGTGCTGTGTTTCTCCCCTCGTCATGAAGACAAGGTTCAAAGAAAGGGCGAAGGGGGCTAGAGAAACTGTGGGTGAAGGTGAAGATGTGGGACTTGTCAGTGACATTGTAGAAGGAGATGACTCCTGCTTCATAGTCCAAGAAAACCCCCACGCACTTTGGGGACTCCTTCAGACGGAAGGACGTCTGCGGGGACGTGAGAGCTTCATACTCGTTCCTGCGGCTCTGTCGCACAAGCCAGTGGCCGTTGGCAGGTGAGGCTGTGACCTTCCCTTTCCTGCTCACAGAGTCGCTACACACTCCAAGGATCCATTTGGTCTTCTCACCCACGTACACTTCCCAGTAGTGACAGCCAGTCGTGAAGCACTCAGAGCCGAGGACACTGACAACAAAATCAAACCTCTGAGGGTTGTCAGGAACAGGCCGCTTCTTGTCGCCCAGCCTCACACATCTCCGATCCTCAGATAGGATGAGTTTGGGATGTGCTGTGTCAGGGTCCAAGGTCACCACCACTGCAGAGAAGTGAGAAGAGAAATTTATGTTTTAAGGAATCTTCATGTAGATTTGGAGGGGAGATTACTCCGGAGGTCTGCGATCTATCGTTGATCTGGTTTTGCTTATGACTTTCCCTGACCACCCCCACAGATGTACTGGAACCAGACTTCTAGCTTGCAGGCAGAAAGCTTGCCTAGTGTGCCTGAAGCCCTTGGTTCTGTCTCCAGCACTATGTAAAACAGGTGGGGTGACACATGACATACTGGGGAGAGGAGGCTGGAGCATCAGTTGCTCAAGATCATCCTTGGCCCCAGAGAGAATTCGAAACCAGCCAGCACTGCATTAGACTGCCTCAAAAAGACAAAACACACACACACAAAATCTACACTTGGGTGTTAGACCCTGTTCTGGCTAGTTTTTGTCAACCTAATAACAAGCTAGACTCTAGTCGTTCTGGACCTGTGGGTCAAGACCCCTTTGGGTATTGTATATCAGATAACCTGTATATTAGATATTTACATTCCAATTCATAATGGTAGCAAAGTTACAGTTATGAAGTAGCAATGAAATAATTTCATGGTTGGGGCTCAGCACATGAGGAACTATATTATAGGTTGCAGAATTAGGAAGGTTGAGGACCACTAGGCTACAGTAATCTGGGAAGAGGGAAACTCATTTAAGAAAATGCCTCCCAGACTGGAGAGATGGCTCAGGGGTTAAGAGTACTGCCAATTCCAAAGGTCCTAAGTTCAATTCTCAGCAACCACATGGTAATGAGATCTGACACCCTTCTGGCCTACAGGCCTACAGGCATACCCGCAGGCAGAACATTGTATACATAATTAATAAATAAATCTTTTTTTTAAAAAAAGATAAAGAAAATGCCTCTCATCCGGGCAGTGGTGGTGCATGCCTTTAATCCCAGCACTCAGGAGATAGAGGCAGGCAGATATCTGTGAGTTTGAGGTTGGCGTGGTCTACAGAGTGAGTTCCAGGGCCAGCCTGGTCTACAGAGCAAGTTCCAGGACAACCAGAGCCATACAGAGAAACCCTGTCTCGAAAGAAACAAAACAAAACAAAATAAAATGCCTCCATCAGATTAAATTGTAGGAAAATCTTTTGGGTTCATTTTCTTGATTAATAGTAGATGTGGCAAAACTTGATTAATGGTTGATGTGGCCAGCTGTGGATGGTGTCACCCCTGGGTGGTCCTGAGTTGTATGAGAAAGCAGGCTGGACAAACCGTAGATAGCAAGCCAATAAGCAGCATCCCCATGGTCTGTACTTAGTCCCTGCGCCCAGATTCCTGCTTTGGCTTTGCCTGATGATTAACTGTAAACTGTAAGCCAGATATACCAGATCCTTGGTCGCAATACTTTGAGGGAAATCAAAGAGAATCACAGATTTTATCCAACTATGCACAGTGACAAAACTAATAATAATAATGTAACAAAATTTACAGTCTTCATCCAAATGGAACGGGGTAAAAGCTTAAGTGACAGAATTTGAGAAAGATGGACTCTGGAATGGAAACCGGTAAGGTTGATTTAACTTACCAAAATGCAGTCGGGCTCTTCTCCAACCTGAAAGGCAAAGGCGGGGTTTGTTAAAGCAGAGTAGAAATAAATGGAGGCAGCCCAGAGGGCGGAGCCTAACGGGGGCAAGAGCATCTCACCTGCATTGGCTGCTGCTCTTTTCAACTCTGGGGGAGAAGAAACAGGAGGTGAGCTGTCTGTCAGTGGATTACAGGGCAGGAGATAAGTTGGTTGGTATTGAAATTATAAAAATGTGGGAAACTTACTCAGTTCACTCCGGAGTTTCTCTGAAGAATAAAAACAGTGAACACATCAGAACAATGACAATTACTCACTCACAATGCTTTGGTCCCTCACACCTATAGCAGATTAGAAGCAGCCATGTCCTGGGACTTCCCCCATAATGATGTCTGCAATAGTGACGTGTCTCCCAGCTGTGGCCCAGACATATGACACGATGACCAAATTCCTATGTGAACCAAAGCTTACCTACATGTGATGATATTTTGTTTGTGCTCTAATAAATAAAGCTTGCCTGAAGATCAGAGGATGGGGCTAGTCACTAGTTAGCCATAGAGGCCAGGTAGTGGTGGGCTCACACCTTTGATCCCATCAACTTGGGATCTCATACCATTGATCCCAGTACTTGGGAGGCATGCACCTTTAATCCCAGCACTAGGGAAGTGTAGACAAAAATATAAGGCAGGTGGAGACAGCATCTCTGTCCTTTCAGTCTGAGGATTACGTAGAGGTTGAAACTTTCAGCTTTAACCCATAATATCTAACTCTGGGTTTTTATTATTAAGACCAATTAGATTCATGCTGCACCTACAGGTCCAATAAATACTACATGTCACACTTGTAGGTGACAATATAAGCAAAGCGTGTGAAGATGTTACCCAATAAAATATAAATTTGTGTAAAACTGTCACCAAATCCCTATTAAATCTTGTTAGCAAGTGTATTTTCTCTATGTAAAATATGTAGACATGTCACATGCCTTCAGTTTTTTTGTTTGTTTTCTTCTTTTTTGGTTTGTTGGTGGTGGGTTTTGTTTTGTTTTAGGATGCAAGGTCTCACTTCGCAGCTCTGGCTGGCCCGGGGTTTGATATACAGACCAGGCTATATATCACAGATCTGGCTGCCTCTGCCTCTTGAGTGATGGGATTAAAGTATGTGCCACCATGCCTGGCAGGTTTTTGTTATTATTAAATGTTAAAAATTGGTTCTCGTGGATGCAATGGCTGAGAATTCAGAAGGCTGTGTCACATTTAAGTGGGGATTCAACTACCACAGACCCTGCTTAAGGAAATACTGTGCCTGGATGTAAAGGATGTCCAGATGGCTTTGCCTAAGAGAGGCACACATGTTGGTAAAACAGTTCCCCTTAGAAGCTACATAAGTGCTCTGCAGGAAAGAGAAGCAGAGAGTGTTCACAGTGGGGTGTCAAGAGCCAGGAAACCCTAGGCCTTCCTAGAATTACCCTGTTCCCTTGCCCACATAGTGAAACTGAGTCACTCAGCCCGCAGCAGAGACGGCAGCAAAGAGAAGGTGGCACAACAGAACTTTCCAGGACTTACTGAGGGCTTTGTGGAGTCTTCCTGAAAACCAGAGAGAGAGAGAGAGAGAAATGAGTGAGTGACCAGAGCCTGACCCTTTATCCCTGGGGATCTGCCACCCCATGAAGAAAAGGTTGGAGCTGCTTCCATAAGCTCCTAATCTAATCCCTGGTTTTAAAGGTCAGACACAAGAGTCCAATGGATCTTGTGTCATTTTCCTGCCAGCAAGCTGAGCTTTGGGTCTCCTTTTCCTTTGTTTCTGTCTAGTCTCACTTCTGTCTATTTCCATGTTGGTAATACCAGAACACACACACGTGTGTGTGTGTGTGTGTGTGTGTGTGTGTGTGTGTGAGAGAGAGAGAGAGAGAGAGAGAGAGAGAGAGAGACAGAGAGAGAGACAGAGAGAGACAGAGAGAGACAGAGGCAGAGAGACAGAGAGAGAGAGAAAGCATGCACACACATGTGCACGTACCTTACTGCCTTTTTTGTAGCCTCCTGTTTACAGTATCTAAGGTGTAAAGTAGCTAAAAGCCCAGCACTGACTCACTCACTAGAATGACTTTATAATTCTCTATAGCAATTCTCCAAAGTCACTGTTTACACAATCCAGGGTTCCCGGAAGTTTGGAATATTTATATGCTTCTTATGCTTTGCAAGACTGCTTCTAGCTTCTCTAGAGGGCCCACCTGGCCCATTTGTTCCCCAGCCTAGCATGATCCTTGCCAGAGAATCAGAGCTACCCATCTGAGTCCACCCAGCCAAGGGCTGGACACAGGGTAGGCTCCTGGGCTTGGAACGGTGAAGCTGAATATGCCATAGCTTCTCAGGAGCTTAGGATGTACAACTGTCATTTCTACGACTAACCACTTACATTCACCATGTCCTGCTCTCACACAGAAAGAGACGTGGCAATGCATGGAATTATTATTTCTGCTTTGAAGAAAATGGGCTGAGGCTCAGAAGGACATGAAATTTTCTCAAGGTCATCTAACTAGTAAGTGACCAAGGAGGCGGGATTCAAACTCAAGTGTGTCTGACTTCTGAGTTCTTTTGTGCTCTTGAGCAGAACAGCCAACATGACCACAGTGTACACTCCAAACTCCAACTCCAGGTTGGAGAGAAGTGAGGTAGGGCACAGAATCTAACATCATTGAACTAGAAGCCATGAAGGCAGAGATATATTCTCTCCGCAAGACTTCAAAAGCATGCCTTTTGACTTTTGTCCTGGGTGGACGTCAGCACACATTAATCCAATAAATGATGACAAAATGGCATTGAGAGAAAGGAGTCCCAGACACTGTGACAGATCTTTGGAAATGTTTTCTCCTTTAACACTGGAACTTCCTATCTCTATATTACAGATGAGGAATCCAGAGGTCAAAGCAAGACTGAATTATTCAATATGGCAGACCAGCAAGCTGAGTCAAGCACTGCTGGCCCCAGAGCCTGCAGCCCTTCCACGGCACCACACCACCTCTCTCCATGTCAAGGTCATGGGGTTCCTGACTTCCCATGCATCCCATGTGACTTTGTTCATATTGTTTCAGTCACAAGCAAACCTCCTTTGCTAGAAAGACTGGTGAAGGAAGCACTTGATGACCCAGACACATGCACTTTGAGCATTGGCATCTCTTCACCCACTGCCACCAACTGCATTGCCCCTTGACACTGGAAACTAAATCCTAATACTACGGAGGAACTGCTGGCGTTTACTGTAAGTAGAAAGAATGCCATATTTTCTCCCTGCTTCTCATTCTGTACATACCTTTTTCTTTGGCATGGTCTTCCAGAAGATTTTCTAGAGAAAGAAAGGGGAAGGCAAATAAGACTCCTGGCCATTTCTGAGGAAGGTCCTGAGTTCCTGTTGGTTTTATCAGTTCTTGAACCGCCCCAACTCTGCCATCTTCATTTCCACCCCTCCTGATCCAGCCCGTCATCTCTCTTCTGAACCACAAAAATGGAAACCCAGTTTGTCTCGCATGTTCTGTCTTACTCCTCTGGTCTCCTCACAACACAATAGCCAAAGCGCTTTCTTCAAAACAAGGTTCTGATCAGGGTGTCTCCACCCAGTGCTTCACCACTGCTTGGGGGGAAAGGCTTTGAGTTCCTCCATCAACACAAACAGAAGGTGGCGGAACGTCAGCTCTGTGAGCCCTGGAGATGCAGAAATCAAAAAACCAAAAGTGTGCCCCCAGCCCTGCCCGGACACTTACCTACCTCCATCACCTGTTCGTAGAGAAGCTTCTCTAGAAAGGAGAAAGGGAGAGCGAGATCAGCTTAGGCAGAACTTTCCAACACATGGTGTTACCCAAACATGACCTAAGCCATCTTCGTAGGCCTGACCCCTTGCCAATAGAGGTGTATGACTGTTTGAAAAGAACAGTCTTCACACCATCAAATGAGGGAAGAGATGGCAGGTTATGTAACTTTCCAAATCCTTTGCAATCAAGAGCCCAAGAAATGTGACCATTTTAATGAGAGTTTTTCCCAAGTGAATATAATTGGATTTCCTGATTAAAAGGCTCTAATATCAGTTAATTAGAAAGCTGCCAGGGTTGGTTCCTATCTAATTTCTCAAAGGGTGAGAGTTCACAGCTCTGCTCAGAGGCTCTCTGCAGTCACTCCATTCCCTGTGCCATGTGAGTCCCTGCTTTGTGACTGTCCCAGGTTTCACGTCCCAGGGTCTCCCTGCTGTAGTAATGCCATGCCCACATCTACTTGTGTTGCTCTTTCCCCAGAGCAGTCACAGTGTCCCACACTCCTCACACCCTCACCTCTACACACCCCTGTCCCCACAGCTCCTTCACCGCCAAGTTACCTTTTGATCTTTTTTGTTTACAGATGAGCCAAATGCCAAGGAGGATGAGGAGCCCCAAGATAGGCAAGACCGCGGAGAGGGCCACGGCTGGAGAGGACAGACTTCCAGGAGCTGGGGCTGAAATGGAGAGCACAGTGACTACACTCAAGGAGACATCTGAGAGCAGCTCCCTGCCTCGGAGGGCAGGTGGCTCAGGCACATGCAACTGTCTCCATGGCCTCTAGGGAGCGCCCTGCCTAGAATGATAAGGCTCTTTGCTTCTCTTGTTAACTCAAACTCTAGGTGACAAAGAGAAAGGGGCTGTTCACATCTCATAAAGGCTTCTCAGCCACAAGCTTACCCTGTCCTCTAATTCCATGGACAAACGCTCTAGGGGCCCAAAGTTCTGAATGTGTGCTCGTAATAATTACCAGCAGTTCCTCAGGAGTTCTGCCTGCCTTCTCCCCAAACCCTTTCTGTTGTGCAACCACAGACTTGGCTACAACAGTGGGTTCCAGGCAGCTTCTTTGTGCCACCATCAGCAGTGGCAGGCAATACGAGGTCTTTGGGCCATGACAGCAGGCCCAAAGCCCAGACAGGAAGGAAAAGGGGTAGGGTAGGACTGCATGACTGCGATCCCAGGAGGCAAGACAGGAAAGTGGTGGAGCTGTGACAAGTGGCAGGGAGTCCGGGCTGGCTGTATGTCCTTGTTCAAGCATCAGGTGACTCTAGGAAAGAGACCCAGCCTCTCCCAACCTGGGCTAACTCATCTGTAAAATGGAGATGGTAAGAGTCCTAATTCCCTGGGACTGTAGTGGAGGGGAAGGACTTAAATAAGTAATCTTACACTCTTACCAGCTAGGGAGAGGCATTGGCAGAAGAGGGAGAGGGGTAAAAAGGGAGGAATGAAGAAAAGATTGGAGATGTCCAGGAGGCTTCTTTACCAACTTAATTTATCACATGATCCCATATTTCAAAGCTTCACACTTTTTACGTTCTATTTATATTTTTAGAATGTCTTCTGCATCAGCTGGCAAATATGTGTGAAGATGTCCACTGCATCATGAGTTATTACATGAGGAGGGAAATTGCAAAGCATCTGGAGTCCCAGAGACAGCCTTCAGTTAATGTGTTTTGGTCTATAGCCACGTGGTGAAATAACCCAAAATCAAATTATGAAAAAATACTTAAGGATATAGACAAAAATAGCTTATGAGTTGAGAAGTGAGAAAAGAAATGAGGTACACATATGTTAGCAGTAGTTCTCTGTAATTTATGAGTCTTTGCCATTGTTTTGATTTCTCCAAAATGCTCCACTTTTTCAGGGTTTTTTTTTTGCAATATGCATTCTTAGAGCTGTTATACGATATAATTCATAGAACAAAAAATTGAAAAAATTAGTTTAAAATTTTTATATGTATATGTGTGTGCCCCAATCACTGAGCCATATCCCCACCCCTGAAAATTCTTTATAAAGGTCCCACTGAGGTAGGAGTTTCCTCCAGGCCTCTCAGGAGCCTCAAGCTGATTTGCACCCCAGTATTACCTCCAATAACCATGATCGTGGTCTCCTCTTGACCAAGGACCTCATTACGGACAGTGCAGGACACGTTTCCCACAGAGTTGTCCCTGATTCTGCTGGACACTGCTGTTCGGAATAGTCCAGTTTCATCCAGGAAGTGGGCCTCCGATAGGGACTGAAGCACCCTGCCCTCAGTGTCTCTCCACTCGGTCCATGGCTTTGGGAACCATCCCACTGACTGGCACACCAGCTGGATCCACCCAGCATCATAACTCTTCACGTGGATGAAGGGATCAGAACCTAAAACTGAAGAGGACAGATTGCCTGACTGAGGCAACCCAGCTGACTGGCAGGGACCCAGCAAGGACACAGCCCTAGCCAATGTCCTGCCCTCCACCCCTTCCTCCGATGGACAGCCATGGCTGGTAGCAGAACTTAGTTTCTGCCTTCTTATCCTTACCCACAGCTGCTCTCTATCCACCACAATGAAATAAAACAGTCAATCCAAATGAAGTTCAAGATCCACACATGGCAAAACCAGCCCCACACTATTCTGATTACTTGGTTATCTCAGTCCCTGTTTGAAAATGATTTGCCCTCCCCCAAAGGACTCCATGACGGGAGTCTACCAACTCTTGTGTGTTTTAAATTAATCTGTCCCTCTTATGTAACTAAAGGACAATCAAAAGATGACTCAGGGGTTAAGATACTGGCTGCCCTTCCAGAAGACCCAGGTTTGATTCCCGGCAGCCACATGGCAGTTCACAACTGTCTGTAATTCCAGTCCCAAGGGGATCTGACAATTCTGGAGTCTGTGGGCCCCAGGTACCCAAGTGGTATACAGATATACATGCAGGCAAAACACCCAACCACATAAAATAAATAAATACATCTTTTAAAAGATGATCAGCTGGGCGGTGGTGGTGCACACCTTTAATCCCAGCACTCAGGAGGCAGAGGCAGGTGGATCTCTGTGAGTTCAAGGCTGGGCTGGACCGATAGCCTCCAAAACAATACAGAGAAACCCTGTCTTGTAAAAACCAAAAAAAAAAAAAAAAAAAAAAAAAAAAAAAAGATGATCAGTGGTAACCCCATGGAGCTGGCAGGAAGTGAACGCAGAGACTTGGGTTGGGTCTGAGTTAGACTGATTCTATTAAAACACTGACGCTAGTTTGAGAAACAGTATCTGACTTCTGGTCCTTTAAACACTCAAGAACCTGGGAAAGGACCATGAAGCAAATCCTTGCCACCGCTGGAAATTCTGACCCTTGAGGACTTCTCCTTGCTGCCCTGGTTCTGAGTTTCTTGGTAATGGAGCAGAGAAAGCTGCCCTTGTCTGAGCCTACAACCCTGTGTTTATCCAGGTCCTGCATCATACAGTGTTTTCCACAATCCAGCTTTCTTCCCGGGTCAGAAAGAAACACCAGTCAGGGCTTCGTTGAGATGAGCAGATCGGACTAGAGAAGACAGCCGACAAAGCAATTGCCGCAAATAACCCAAGCCCCTCCACGCCAACCTAACCTGCCACTTGCAGGGTCACGTTGCCTTCTTGACTCTGGTTTCCAACCCGGAACTGGCATTGGTACAGCCCTCGGTCCTCGAGCCTCACATTGCTGATGCTCAGAGAGTAACTTCCCTTGAGAGTATCTCTCACCAGCTTCGTCCTGCCCTTGTATTCCGGCATCAGATCGTCATCTCTGTCCTGCCCGTCCCGGAACACGTGGACAGCCTGGGTATGAGGCAGGTGTGCGGGTCGTTGCCACCTAACCTCGCTGAGCACCATGCCTGGCCAGAGCAAGAGAGGGCAGGGCAGCTCCGCTGTGCCCCCCAGTGGGGCCAGGTAGAACTTGTGAGCATCCCCTGCACGACAGAGACCAAAAGGGGAGAAGGCTACTGAAGAGATGGCTTGAGGAGGAGTGAGAAAGGGGAGCATTTTAGGGAAGGGCACAGCCTGGCAAGGACAATGGAAAACCAACCCCAAGAAGAACCAAATTCCAGCGCCATTCCAGCGCCATGCCTCAACCCTGTCAGACCTCCCAAGCAGAGAAAGATCCAAAACGCCTACCTGACACCGGAGCAGGCAGCTGGAGGAAGGCTAGAGTGAGGAGGCAGCCGAGAAACCAGGAGCCAGAGGTACTTGGTGGTCTCTCCATACAAACTAGGACAGACACCAGAGGAGGACTGATGAACTTGAGCTGAGCAACCTAGGACCTGGAGCTGAGATCCAGGTCACGTGTCCCACCCGAGGAGCAAGGACATGTGCTTCTAAGCCCAGCTTCACTACCCACTGCCTTGTGAGACTCCCCTTATGCTCATGTGACAGTGTGACTAAAATTCTCAGAAACTCTCTCTTTTCTTCATCTTTAAATATTTTTATTTTTATGTAGATATGAGGGGAGGCATGTGTACCACGTGAGTGCAGGTGCCCTCAGAGGCTACCTCCTCTTAACTGGAGACACTGGTGGTGGTGAGAGGCCTGGTGTGGGTCCAGAGAATGGTCCCCTGCAAGAGTAGCAAGGGCTCTTAATGCTGAGTCATCTCTCCAGCCTCCCTGACACCCTTTTATGTTTATATTTAACCAAGGGGCTTCCAAGTCCACCATTTCGTCATGGAGACACCCATCCTTCAATCAGGCAGTGGGAGTTGAGTAGACCTGGGTTTAGATCTCACCTGTTTCCATTTGCTAGCTCTACATCTCTAGTAAAGTTGTGTACTATCGGTGATGTCAAATTCTCAATCCTGGGGGGAGGGGCTTCTTCACAGATAGGTGGGAGGATTCAAGAAAAGAATGTGCACCAAGCCCTGGCCATAGACGCCTTGGAGAACAAGTGCTTGATAAACGTACGGAACTAAAAGGGGATAGTCATAGCTCAGAGGTGCAGATCACCATGTGCTCTAGCAGGGGAGACCCCAAGGGTTCCCCAGTAAAGCTCTGCCCGCCCACTTGCTAATGCTGAAGTGCCTTTTAGCAGGTGACAAAGTCTTTCATGCCACACTGAGGGAGACGTCAAAAATGCCAACACTCTAGGAAGAGAGAAGACTCCCAAACTCTCTCCAAAATTTCACATCCTTTGTATCTCTTTGGTTATCAGAAAACAATCTGGGGGTGCTGGAGAGATGGCTGAGCTATTAAGTGCACTGCCTGTTCTTGCAGAGGACTTGGGTTCAATTCCTAGCACCCACATGGAAGCTCACAACCATCTGTAACTTCAACTCCAGGAGATTCAATGCCCTCCTCTGACTTCCACAGGCACCAGGCATGCACCTGATATAAATACATGCACGCAGACAAAAACACTCATACACATAAAATAAGAAATAATAAATCTTTGTAAAAGCATAAAACCATCGTGGCGATTTGGTACCTGATGTTTTCTGTGAATGTGGCATCACACACATTTTCCATACCATCACATATTCTTCTAAATAGCTTCAGGGTTCCAACACAGACCTGTGAGGATTTTAAAAAATAATTCCATATGACAGGCTTAAACATTACGACAAATGACAATAGGTTGGCGGCTGGAACTAGGAGGTTTAGTCCTAGGGGTAGTAGTGTAGTCTCCAACTAAATGATACTCTAAGTTAAAGGAAACTGCTTAAACTCTTAGGCCTTGAGTCTCCTAATTTTAAAATAGGGATGTTTTAAAATTTCGCCATCAGAGCTGGAGAGATGGCTCAGAGGTTAAGAACACCGGCTGCTCTTCCAGCCAAGACCCAGGTTCAATTCCCAGAGCACACATGGCAGCTCACAACTGTCTGTAACTCCAATCCCAGGGGATCCAGCATCCTCAAACAGACATATATGCAGGCAAAATTCCAATGTACATAAAATAAAATAAATACATTTTAGAAAAATTCACCTCCAAATTTCCCTAAGGAAAAGTTAAATCAAATCAATCAAAATAAATTTTCTTGTTTTCCTACAGCCTTGCCTTCAGTGGAATGTATCAAGTTTTTTTTTAATTCTTACCAATTTGATAACAAAATTGTATTTCTCAGAATGTGATAGCCCTTCATGTTAATCTGTATTTATTTGATTATTCATTCATTTGGTCCTTGTCAATGACTTCCTCTGTATTTTGCTGGTTTTTCTCTTTGACACATTTGTCTCTTAATGCCTGCAAAATTCTTCATATAGTAATGAATTTTCTTCCCATGACACAAGTTGAAAGTATTTTCCCCCAGAGTCAGTTACATTTTAAGTTTAAACTAGTTTGATTTTTGAAGCTTCTAAGTCAGAAAAAAAAGAAAAGAAAAAAGAGGAGGAAAGGATCCCAGCAGACATTCTTTTACTGATCTTGAGCAGTTTAAGAAGATCCCAGGCATCATTAACTCACAGTTACAGTTCAGGACCCAGCAGACTGTGAGGGCAAACTACATGGCTGCTCAAGTATTGATAGCACTGCGGTATTAAGTGAGAGTCTTTAGACGGAGCCCCCACCATCATTCTCGTCACTCGTTGTATCTGGGCTCCTAATTGACAGTTAACCATTGCCCCACCTTATCCTTTAAGCTGTTCTTTGTAAAACGAAAGATTATTCCTCTATGTCCATGAGCTTGAGGGTCCTGAGAAATTCAAAGCTCTAGACAGTCTAAGACAAGAAGGAAGAAGGGAGATAACTCACCACATTTGGGATGCGGGATCTTTGTTCTTTAGTGACAGAGCTGGCACCTCCTAGCTGGGAATATCTTCTTCCCATGGGTGGGGTGACCTGACATCAGGCAGGAGTTCCGGGAAGATCCCAAGAGATAGGCCTGGGGAAAGTTCATATTCTAGACTGACGACCAGAGAGCCCCAATGCCAAGGGCTCCCTCTACCCCATCGATGGCCTTCTGGAGGTCCCTACAAACAAACAAGCAACGCCCTGTCTGCCCACCCCTGATAAAGCAGGAGTGTGGAAAGGAGGCTCCCAGAGCGAGGGAACAGTCTACTGCTATGGCAAAGAAAGGGCTTCCTCCCCCCCCCCCCAGCTCTCTTTTCCTCCAGCGCTTGGTGCAACAGTGACTCCTGCAATTTGATCCCATCGCTCCTTTTCTTAAGAGCTTGTTCTCCTTTACACCTCAACCAGCATAGATTAGGAGATTCGTGAATGGAACTGGAGCCCATATACAGGGAAATAAAGCAAACTCGGGAAACCATACTGCTCATTTCTTCCTATATGTGGGACTAACATTTAGAGGTGTGTGTGTGTGTGTGTGTGTGTGTGTGTGTGTGTGTGTGTGTGTGTGTGTAAGCTATGAAAGTAGAAAGGAGACCATGGGAGAGGAGAAAGAAACTATAAAAGCAGGGAAAGAGCAAACTAATGCAGGCAATATGAAAGCAGAAGGGAGGACTATTGGGGAGGAGAGGGAACAGCAACAAGGGGCTGGGAATGTATGAGAAGGTACTGGGAGAGGGGATGAATAAGGATAAAGTGTAATGGCATACACATATGAAAATGCCATGAGGAAACACATCACCCTGTATGCTAACTTAAACTCACTTAAAAAATTAGAAGGTTGGCTTCAAGACACCCGCCAGTCAGCTATACTCTTTAACCCACAGCTTTATCTCCAGCTACACCTTGATGTATGCTTTCAGACAAGCAAACTGCTTCCTGCCCCTCCTGTGTCACACCCTTCCCAACTGCTTACCTCCGTACTGCCCATGACTGTATTCATAGCAATACAAAATATGCACTTGGACTTTTATAAGATTCCCTGTGGTTTCTTTTGCTCAGTGAACACTGGGTGTTGAGTTTAGCAGATTTTGTTGGAGGCCTGCACTGGAGCCCCTGATGTGGCTGACCTGTCACCTTCAGTGTCGCTGAGACTTGTCAGCAAGCTATAGGGCCCCGGCAGCTCTGCTTACTGTCTGAGATTCTACACAAAGGCTCAGAAGCCCACTTAGCCAGTGGACATCCCCAGCGATCACCATAGGTGGTGTTCTAAGGAATCTCAGGAGCAGTTCTGAGTCATCTTGACTACATACTCCTCCAAGATTTCCCACTGGGACCCAAATGCAAGAAACCCTTTTCTGGGCTGGAAAGATGACTCAGCAGTTAAGAGTACTGGATGTTCTTCCAGATGACATGGGTTCAAATCCCAGTAACCACATGGCAGCTCACAACTGTCAGTAACTCCACTTCCAGGGGATCTGACACACTCACACAGACATACTCGGTCAATGCACATAAAATAAAAATAAAATTATTTCTTAAAAACACTTTAAAAAGAAAGAAATCCTTTTCTTCTGGATATCCTCCTGAAAATGCTTGCATTGAAGGGCTTCTCTCACATGCTTCTTTGGGTATAGAGTGCTGGTGTAGTAATTAAGATGCTGGAATTCATCCATCTGTCAAGACTCTGGGTTTCCTCTCCAGCACACACACACACACACACACACACACACACACACACACACACACACACACAGAGTCCTTACACATTCATCACTCATTTGTGTTAGGAAACTTCCAACTCCTCTGTCTCCTAGTTATCTTGAATATATAATAGATCATTATAAATGTACTCACCCTAGAACACTACGACTTATCTCTCCCATATAACAATATATTGGCAGTCATAACCCAACCTTTGTCTATGTCCCTTCCCCCAAGTTTTAATTGTTTATTTTGTTTTCAGACAGCATTTCACTACATAGTCCAGATTGTCCTCACACTTGTTTTTTTTAATTATTTATTTATTATGTGTACAGTGTTCTGCCTGAATGTCTGCTTATGGGCCAGAGGAGGGCACCAGATCTCATTGTAGATGGTTGTGAGCCACCATGTGGTTGCTGGGAATTGAACTCAAGACCTCTGGAAGAGCAACCAGTGCCCTTAACCTCTGAGCCATTTCTCCAGCCCCTGTCCTCAAACTTGCAAATCCTCCTGCATCTGCATCTTGAGTAGTGGGATTAAAGCCATTCACAAAATCAGGTCCAACCATGCTTCTCTTTAAATGGTAAATGAATGGAGTTCTGGACTTCCAGCTAAACAAATATGGTTTTATTGAACACCTCCCCAGCCCCTAGTCACTAGACTTTTAAAAGGACATTTCTTGTCTTTTCTCCTTTATTTATTTTTGTTTGTTGGTTGGTTGGTTGGTTTTTTCAAGACTCACTTTGTAGACTAGGCTGGCCTTGAACTCACAGAGATCTGCCTGCCTCTTTCTCCTGAATACTGGGATTAAAGACATGAGTCACCATCGCCTTGGCTGGCTTTTAAATTTTTAATTTACTAAAGCACTGTGTGTGTGTGTGTGTGTGTGTGTGTGTGTGTGTGTGTGTGTGTAGACTGGAGGTCAATGTCAAGTGTCTTCCTCAATTGAACACTTTATATTTTGAGACTGTCTGTTACTGAACCTGGGCCCACCAAAGTGCTTAGGTTGCCTGGTCATCATGCTCTAGGAATCTGCCTGTCTAAAGAGCACTCTATTATGTCATAAAACTTTCTTCTATGCAATTTTAATTGTTGTGTTGGATTTTATTTACCCTTTTGTCCATTTTTTTGTTTGTTTGTTTTGAGACAGGGTTTCTCTATGTAGCCCTGGCTGTCCTAGAGCTCACTATGTAGACTGGCCTCAGATGAACAAAGGTCAGCCTACCTCTACCTCCTGAGTGATGAGATTAAAGTTGTGACTTCTATGTGCCTCTTTCATTCATCTTAACCCTAATGATAAGATGTTGATTCTTAGCAGGTCTTTAATTCCAGCACTTGGGAGGCAGAGCAGGCCAGCCTGGTCTATAGAGTGAGTTCCAGGACAGCCAGGGCTATACAGAAAAACCTTGTCTCCAGAAAAAAAAAAAAAAAACGTAAATGTTGACTGGTGTAGTGTTTTCCCCTTGTAAGTAGTGCTATTTATGATTATTTACTTAGGACAGCTTCTTTTGTTTTTTTTTTGTTTTGTTTTTTTTGTTTTTGTTTTTGTTTTCCGAGACAGGGTTTCTCTGTATTGCTTTAGAGGTTTGTCCTGGAACTTTCTCTGTAGACCACGCTGGCCTCAAACTCACAGAGATCTGCCTCCCCAGTGCTGGGATTAAAAGCATGCACCACCAATGCCCAGCAGGACAAATTCTTAAATGTAAATTTGCTTAAAATGTCTGGAGCCAATTCTTAAAGCTGGGGTAAAAGAAAAGCCCTCTGGTGTAGGGGATTGAATTTACAGTCTCTCACACTGTGGCACGTGTTCTACCACTAAACTACATCCCTAACCCACTTCTTTTGTGAGACAGAGTCTCGGTAAGTTGCCCCAGGCTGATCTTAGACTCACTCCATATGTAGCCCAGACTGGCATTCAACTTGTGATCCTCCTGCCTCAGCTTTTCCAGTAGCTAAGATTGGGGGCACAGTATTTCAGTTATTTAAAGTCTATATACAAAAGTATTAACATTGCTATTCATTAAATCTCTTGAATTTTGTCTTGCAAAATGAACTCTGTATCATAGAACAAGAACTCTCCTTTCCACTCCCACCCTCACTCCCTGGATGTCACTCTCCCAACACAAACCCCTGGCAGCCTTTCTCTCTGTCTCTCTGTCTCTCTGTCTCTCTGTCTCTCTCTGTCTCTCTCTCTGTCTCTCTCTCTCTCTCTCTCTCTCTCTCACACACACACACACACACACACACACCACACCCTGGAAATCACTCCCCGCCCCCAGCCCCTGCAGCCTCTTCATGTTTCTTAAGAGTTTGACTAATTTTGATACCTTGTATAAGCAAATGGAAGCATGCAGTAATGTGTGTGTGTGTGTGTCTGTGTCGTGTGTGTGCATGTGCATGCGTGCGCCAGTACTCATGTGATTATGCCCATTTTTAAAGTTTTGAAATCTAATGTAGAATTGGCCTCCCAAGAATATAACTCACTGTTGGACTGAAAGTACCTACATGTTCATGTAGGCTCCCCATTGGATGCTTAATATGTAGGCCTGCTAGGTAGATCAGGCTTAAATACAGAGATGCATTTGCCTCTGCCTTTGGAGTGCTGGGATAAGTGTGTGTACCGTCATGTACAGAAATTCTTACTACTTTCACAAAGAAACAAAGCAGGTCTGAATGTGTCTCCAGAGGTAGTTGTCCTCTGAATCCTGCCTAAAATACTGGCTTTAGCACTTCTAGATGGGGAAATCACTTTTCAATGCCTGTATAATGCATCCTTATTATGAAGAATAGGGACTTAAAATGCACTGTTCTAAGAATAGTGCCTGGAATATAAAAGACCCAAAGAGAAGCAGTTATTGCTATTACTCTGTCTCCTCCTTCACGTCCTTCTCTTTAGTCAATTCTTGCTAATATAACAAATGAAAATGATAGCTAGAAATTCTACTTTACACTCCTTTGATAATTCTGTCCCCCGTAACTCTATCTCTCTCCAATTTATAGAGAACCTCGAGCCTTTGCCTCTCCTGTGCTGGGATTAAAGGTGTACACCACCAGGCCTGGCCAAGGGGCCCCGTATTTAAAATGTTTTGGTTTTTTTTTTCCTCTCTCTCTCTCTCTCAAAGTTTTCAAAGCACTGTGGCAAACAGGATTCCATTTGATTCTCCTTATAGACCGGTAAATCAGGAAGGAAGCAATCATCAATCATGACTTTTTGGATTTAGAACCTGATGCTCAGAATTCCGGTACTAACCAATTCCAATTCCAGGAATCAGATTTCGCTTTTTAAAGCCTCGCTGTTGTCCCAGAAACTAGAAGCCGGGAAAAGCTTTGGTTACTTGTAAGAATGTCCCAGCCACAGGCCCCGCCCCTCCCGCTTCAGGTCCTGCCCTCTAGTCACAGACCCCGCCCTACACGCCTCCGACTCCGCCCCTCCCGGTCCGGCCACGCCCAGGCGAGCTCTCTGCGCGCGCGCAGTGGCTCCTGCGGGAGGGACACCTTTGGCCGCGGCCCCGCCTTCCCCGGCGCGGCCCGCCCAGTTCAAGGGCAGCGGGGCTGGGTGCTCCGGTCCCGCGGTAGGGGAAGACGAGGGTGAACCCCGCGTGGGGGCTGGTTTGCGACGTGGCGGAGGCCGGGAGACCGAGGCCGGGTAGGGAAGGGCGCGGACCCCCGAGCCGCCATCTTGCTGCGGAGGGGCCGGGAGGGCGGGGCTGGCTGAGGGCGCTGCCGTGGACCCGGTGGCTTTACCCCTCGGCCTCAGAGACTCAGCCGTGGCGCACGCCCCCGGGTTGGAGCTGCTTTCTCCGGCCTTCTCATCTGCTGCTCACCCGTGTTGGTAGGGAAAGGCCCAGGAAATGACTGCTGTCCCATTGTGCAGGAAACTGAGACTCATAAGTAAGGAGGAGACTGGACTAGGAACGCACAGCGAGGTGCTGGCAGTGGGACTCCAGGGTACCCTGCCTCACTGCCAAGCTAGGGAGTTGGGGGAGAGACTAGCAAGCGGTTCTCTTTTTGTACCAGCAGGTCAGAGCAGACCAAGAAGCATTCAGAAGCCAAGTCATGGATCCACCTGCCCGGAAAGAAAAATCCAAAGTTAAAGAACCTGCCTTCAGAGTGGAGAAGGCTAAGCAGAAATCTGCCCAGCAGGAGCTGAAGCAAAGACAAAGAGCAGAGGTGAGACTAAGGAGGGGGCTCTGTGTGCCCGAGTCAGCAGGAGAAGGTACTGGAAGAAAACACAGCAGACAAAACTTTACTAGGGGGGGTCTCTCCTTGTCTTCAGGCAGGACATTTCGGGGCAGAGAGGCCATCAGGGTCCAGAATGATGAAGTGGAAGCCAAGAGTCACAGGTCAAGTTAGTGGCAGAATCCCAACCTGTAGCAGGTCTCTAGATGACTCCTGGCACTGAGCTTTTGTGCTAAGGATCTGAGGAACACATGAAAAGAGAAGAAGCAGCCGTGGATGAGGGAGGGATCAGAGGGGGCGAGGAGAATATGAATAAATGAATGAATGAAGTGCCAGTGTGTCCGGTGACCAGTTACACATGTGCATTTGATACAAAAAGTAGCTAGTTGGTGGGTGGGTTGATAAAAGTGCCTGCTCCAGAAGTCTGACTGCCCTGCCCGAGTCTGTTCCTCAGAACCCATACATAGATGGAAGAAGAGAGAACCACACAGGGTTAGGCTTAGGTTAGGTTCTCCGACCTCCACACTTACCGTGCATCCACATACACACACCACCACCAGCAGTTTTTAAGTGTCTGCTTCTAACCATGTAAAGGCTCACACTTTGAGCCCACCAGTGTTTCTTTGTTCTCTCAACACTTAACCACTTTAACAATAAAAAGCTTTAAAACATTTACATTCGTAATGAACCACATCCAGACATGAGTATTTTAATATTTAGTATCAGGAATAAGTTTGCTGGTCTTTTCTGCCTCTTTGTGGCGTGTGTTTTTGAGAAATTTTAAAGTACAGAAAACACCTTTCTCGGATGGGTGGTCAGTAGTATTGAATTTTCCTACAATTTTCTTAAGATAAATAAAGTCACATAAATTTGATGTCCCCTTTGACTATTTGTCTTATACCTTTTCTCCCTCTCCATGGGTAAGTCTTTTTTTCTTTCTTTCTTTCTTTCTTTCTTTTTAAAGAGGTTCCTGTGTGTAGCCTTGGCTGTCCTGGAACTCACTTTGTAGACTAGGCTCACAGAGATCTGCCTGCCTCTGGCTCCTGAGTGCTGAGATTAAAGGCATGCACCACCACCACTCAGATCCTCTCCCCCCTTTTTAAAGATGCATTTTCATTCAAATAGATGAATACATTATCTGTGTATGTTTGTGATGGGTATGTGAGCATGAGGTTATGTACCCATGGAGGCCATAAGAGGGCATCAGATGCCCTAGAGCTGGAGTTATACGAGGCTATGAGCCATCTGACATAGGTGCTGAGAACAGAACCAGGGTCCTCTGGAAAGAGAAGCAAGGGCTCTTCACCACTGAGCCCTCTCTCCAGCCCTGAGCCACCTTATTTAATATATTTACCTACTCCTCCTGTAATGGATAGTGTAATTATTTACAGTTTTGCTTTTTACAAACATTTGTGCGGAAAAACTTTTAGGTATTTCCTTGGCACCTGTGCTAGAATTTTTCAGGTATTTGACTAGAAAAATTACCAAGTACCATTTCAGTTTTCCTAGACATTGCCAAATAGCTTTCAGAGGGATTCCTCAAGCTTGCACCCCTGTTGATAGTGTGAAACACTTACTGTTCCTTTTGCTCTGACAGTTGATTATTGTCAAACATTGTTTATTGGATCCATTTATTAAACAAATATCCAGCTGCTGCACTAGTGTATGGACTTGAGACAGCAGTTCCTGCCTTCATAGAGTGTGCATTCCAATAATCGTAATAAACTCAGGAGCATGTCTGAAGTTCCTTAGCACCCCAGAGTCTCCCCATCGACTAAGGCAGACTGTCTGAAAACCATGGTCCTCCATTTGATAAATGTGTCCCTTCTTTACCCAGATCCAAAATGATTTTTTTTTTTTTTGGTTTTTTGAGACAAGGTTTCTCCAGGATACTACTTTCTCTGTATTGTACTCACTTGGTAGACCAGGCTGGCCTCGAACTCACAGAGATCCGCCTGCCTCTGCCTCCCGAGTGCTGGGATTAAAGGCGTGCGCCACCAACGCCCAGCCTCCAAAATGATCTTAAGCTTTGTGCTTTAGCAGACAGTTCAAGGAATGCTGTAAGAAACAGCCCTTCAAACTCTGTAAACACTGAAAGATAGGTGTGGAGGGCACTGTTCACATCCTTACCACATCTACTTGTCTGACTTCCACTCATTCTTCCCATGTGATCTTAGAAAAAATACGTCTGAACATCACTTCCTCGATGTCTGGGAAAATGGGGGTGGTGGTGTCTACCGCACAGTATTTTAAGGAATAGAAATTACATATGGAAAGCCCTTAGCACAGTGCCTGGCACACAGAAGGTGTTTGATAACTGGCAGTGATCACGATCTGGAGTCACCATTGCTTCTAAGCAGCTGATGTGCTCTTACCATGTGGACTTAGCAGGATCAGCTGGTTGTGTCCATATTCACTTGCTGAGCTGTCAGGTTGGATGTACATGCCAGTAGCAGCTGGCACCTGTTAGCTCCTACTATGTCAGCTTGAGCGAGGCCTGCACATGTGTGAGCAAATGCTGAGGCAGGTGTTACTATTTCCCATTTAACCCTTTGTGAATCCTTCTGGAATAAGAAGTGGTGTGACCAGAGTCAGTAAGAGCAGGCCCGTGGTCAGAGCAGTGCTTCCTACTTGGTGTCTCTTGGTTTTGTTTCTGTCACGCTGGGGCTTGAGTCCAGGGTCTGTATGTGCCTTGTGCTGTATCACTAAGCTATACCCCCAGCCCCAGTCCACTGTTCGCTTCCCTAGCAGCTGTCTTGCTATTTTGCCTGTGTTCCCTGGAATGGAGTCATTCATAGGAATGTGCCAGCACCTCCTCAGGAGGAAGGGATAAAGATGCCGTATTCCAGAAAGGAGGCACGCAAGGGATGGGGGCTCATTTGGCAGGGGAAGCAGCACATCACACTGCTATGAAGTCTCGCTCTTGGCTCAGACACCTGGACATTTTAAATCTCTTTGTACCCTGCTTATTTCCCCCTTTCTCCTACCATTCTGCCTCTTTGACTGGGAGGTCTCCAGGATACTACTTAATATCCCTGTCAGTCCCAGAACAGAAAGTAATACACAGATCACAAAGGTTGGCAGGTGTCAAGTCTATGAAGCAGAGACTTTTCTGCTCTTTTTTGTTGTTTAGGTTTTTTGTTTTTCAAGACAGGGTTTCTCTTTCTCTGTGGCTTTGGAGGCTGTCCTGGAACTCACTCTGTAGACCAGGCTGGCCTCAAACTCACAGAGATCTGCCTGCCTCTGGCTCCTGAGTGCTGGGATTAAAGGTGTGCGCCACCAACGCCCGGCTGATGTTTCTGCTTTTTAAATATGTGTCTTCCACTCAGCCTAAGAAACTGAACTTGAAGCAAGCCCAGTGGCACATACCTGTAGTCACAGCATTTGGGGGATGGAAGTGGATCAACAAGAGTTCAAGACCAGCCTGAGTAACATAATGAGGGAGGCCTTGTCTCAAAGAAGAAAAGAAAAAGGAAAAAAGAAAAAGGAAAGGGGGAGAAGGGAAATAGATCAGTAACTTGGAAGGTCCAGTGTGCACATCTGGTCATGTGCCTGTTCACATAAGCTGTTTCGTTTTAAGTTTATGCTAATCATTGCTGTTCTATATGAACTCACTACCTCTGTAGTATGGACTCCTAAAATAATGTTTTCGTAACAATAAGTCTCTTCATTTTACATATTTCTGAATTTTTAGTCATGTGCCTCTATGGCTTTAAGTGTTTTAGTTTAAGATTGTATCTCTATAGAGGCTGAAACTCTTTATGTAAACCAAGCTGGCTCTTTATGTAAACCTTGAACTCAGAGATCTGCCTGCCTGTGCCTCCAGAGTGCTGTGATTGAAGACATGATTCACCACACCCAGCCTTCTTTTTTAAGATTTACTTTTTAACGTGTGTGTGTGTGTGTGTGTGTGTGTGTGTGTGTGTGTGTGTCCAACCCCGGAGCATGGGTGTTGGGAACTGAACCCCAGTCCTATGGTAAAAGCAGCAGTGCCCTTAGCTGTTGAGCCATCCCAAGTCCTTTCCCTCTTCGGCCTCTCAGATTTTGTTTTGTTGGGACATGATCTCTATTGTATAGCACTGGCTGTTCTGGAACTCACTATGTAGGCCAGACTGGCCTCAAACTCAGAAAGGTTCACCTTCCTCTGCCTCCCAAGTGCCTCTCAGATACCTTTATTTTTTATGAGTGTTTTGCCTGCAAGTATGTCTGTGACCTCTGTAAGTGAGCGGTACCCGTGGAGGTCCCATGAAGGCATAGGAACCCCTAGCACTGAAGTTAAAGACAGTTGTGAGCTGCCATGTGGGTTCTGGGAACCAAACGCAGATCCTCTGCCAGAGCAACAACTGCTCGTAACCATTGAGCCATCTCTTTGGCCCCAAGTTCTATTTCTTAGATTAGCGGTGGACACTATATTCTGTGACTTGCTCTCTCCCCTGAACATTTTTTCCTTGCTACATTTATGTGTGTGTCATGGAACATGTGTGGAGGTCAGAGGACAATTTCCACCATCAAGCTTGGCATGTTTTCAAAATATTCTCTAGTACATGGCCTGCACTAGGCCATGTTCCCACAGCTGCCTCCTCCCTGGACTTCTACAAATGCCTCCTAAGTAGTTGATAATCCCAGTTGGCCTCCACTCATCCTTTCCAGAGCCCAGATGGAGTCAGGTTATCCCTGCATACTCATTTCTGCTGCTCTCTGGAGCCTGCAGGTGAAGGCCCAGACTCCTTGACCTGGCATTTAAGATGCTGACACTCTAGTCTGTCCAGCTCCCCAGGTCCCCCATGTACACTCACCTCGGAGGCCCAAGCCAGCTGGCCACCGGCCACAGAGGCGTGGCCTTCCAATCCAGTCAGCTGCCACCAGATATGATGATAGTCAATGCAATAGGGAATACAATACATTTATTTACCTGAGAGAGAATCACACAAGCTGGGAGTCAGAAGCCTGGCTGGCTTCCAAAAGAGGAGCTCCTTTCTCCTTTTGCTTCCTTTTGTCTCTACCTGTGCTAATTTACTTGTCCCCGCCCTCATGGGCGGATAACTTTGTGGGGTTCACTCTACAGGGATCCTGTGCTGCTCTCTCAGACTTGTCAGGCACCATCTAAAGACCAAGCCAGCCCCTTGCCTCACTGCCCCTCCTGGTGAAATCCCAGCATTTCCAGCAGCCTCAACAGCAGCTTCCATTGTTAATGTGTGTTCTCCATGCAGATCTATGCGCTCAACAGGGTCATGACAGAACTGGAGCAGCAGCAGTTTGACGAGTTCTGTAAGCAAATGCAGCCCCCTGGGGAGTGATGCACAGGCCCTGGAACCTCACAGAACTAAACAAGCCTTGTGGAGAACTCTGCACTGAACTTCCTGTAGGTAACTTCACCACACTGGTTCCTCCTCTCAGAACTGGCCCAGCGCTTGCTGGGTAGACTTCTCATCTGGAACAGCAGATTTTTTTAAAAGGCCTTTTTTCTACTGTGTGAGAAAAATCATTGTTTCTAGTGAAACTGTGTCTTCACTAAAAATAATAAAATACAAAATGTTCATTTGTTCTTACTTTAGGGTGGGAATGCCTTCTCACAGGAAGTAGAATAAAGAATGGGGTAGGTGAGGGCTGGAGGGATGGCTCAGCAGTTATGACTGCTCTTGCAGAGGACCCAGGTTCAGTTCCCAGCACCCATCCATATTCGACACTTCACAACCACCTGTAACTCAAGATTCAGGGCATTCAACATCTTTTTCTGGACTCTATGGACACTTCACTCCCACAGAAAGACATACAAATATACACATAGTTAAAAATAAAATAGGTCTTTAAAAAAAAAGAGCTGGTGCCGGACGTTGGTGGTGCACGCCTTTAATCCCAGCACTCGGGAGGCAGAGGCAGGTGAATCTCTGTAAATTCGAGGCCATCCTGGTCTACAAAGCGAGTTCCAGGAAAGCCTCCAAAACAATACAGAGAAACACTGTCTCGAAAAAACAAAAAAAAAAGAGCTGGCGTGGTGGCACATACCTTTAGTCCCAGTACACAGGAGGCAGAGACAAGCAGACCTGTGAGTTTGAGGTTAACCTGTTCCACCGAGCAAGTCCCAGGTTAACGAATGCTACATAGTGAGACCCTGTCTCAAACTCACACTCATGTGTATGCGTGTGTGGATATGCATGCACATACACACACACACACAGAATGGGATCCAGTGTCCTTGGAGACAAAGGAGGTGCTTTGCCATGGGAATGAGGACAGCTCATTGTCTTTCTCAAGGGGAAAGAATGCAGGAGTCAATGGATTTGGTAAGGTAAGTGTGGAAGTTCTTTGGAGAGTGAGAAGCAGGGTGATGAGAGTGAGAAGGGAAGGTGACAGAGGTTTGCAGAGAGAGAGTATGAAACAGCAGTCTAGTTCCACAGACAGTGACACGTGGGATGACAGCTGGGCAGCCGTAAGGCTTCACTGGGGATGAGCAGACACACACACACACACCAAGCAGCACTGACCATGGAGTGTTCTCAGCCCAGCTGGAGGGAGGCACAGTAGATGGAGAGTTGTGATCGAGTGAACCAGGGCTTTGCTCAGCAGCTAATGTGGAAGCAAAGACGGACAGGGAGGCGCTATTCCCAGTGCATGGACTGTAACAATGGGCTGGCTCTAGGCTGTGTGAAAAAGGAAGTGAGAGCCAGACATGGTGGCACTCACCTGTAATCCCTTGGGAGGCTGAGGCAGGAGGATCAGGAGTTTGAGGCCAGCCTGGGCTACTTAGTGACACCCTGACTCAGTGTAAATGAGAACTGGAAGAGGATAAGGGACTCTGAAAGTGTCTAAGGCTCACGAGTTAGAGTTCCTACTGTGCTTGAAACAGCTTCTGGAAGTAGAGACAGGCAGATCTGTGTGAGTTCAAAGCCAGCCTGGTCTACAAGTTGAGTTCTAGGACAGCCAGGCCTACACAGAGAAATTCTGTCTCAAAAAACAGGAAACAAAAATAAACCATGCTTACTTCCAGTGTTCTGGGCCTTGCTGATCACAGGCATCCCGTCACGCATGAGTATATGTGACCTTTACTTCCATTTGAGCTACTAGCCAGGGTTAAGAGGTGGGAAGCCAGGATTCCCCCCACCACACCTGCCATCCTGTGAGTACAGCTAATAGTAGTTCTGGGGGGGGGGCAGTCCAGGTACTTTAATGTTTTCATCTTGCAGGTACTTCACCAGTCCTAGAGTCAGGTTTGTGAGGGGAATGTTCAGACTGATCCCTTAGGAACCAAACACCCATCACCCAGCTTCCTGTGTTAGGGGTAGAGGCATAAAGTTGTCTCAGACATGTGCTTAGGAATGTAATTCACCCCCACGTGTGCAGTAGTCACTGTAATGCTGAGCAAGTGCTGGCATTCGGGGCATGGACCACCAGACGTGGATAAAACTAAAAACATTTTTTCTTTTGATTTTTCGAGACAGGATTTCTCTGTGGCTTTGGAGGCTGTCCTGGAACTCGCTCTTGTAGACCATGCTGGTCTCGAATTCACAGAGATCCACCTGCCTCTGCCTCCCAAGTGCTGGGATTAAAGGTGTGTGCCACTACTACTACTACTACTACTACTACTACTACTACTACTACTACTACCACCACCACTACCACCACCACCACCACCACCCGGAAAAATCTTTTTTTATGTTTTTTTATTTTTTATTTTTATTTTTTGGTTTTTCAAGACAGGGTTTCTCTGTATTGTTTTGGAAGCTGTCCTGGAACTCACTCCATAGACCAGGCTGGCCTCGAACTCACAGAGATCCACTTGTCTCTGCCTCCCGAGTGCTGGGATTAAAGGCGTGAGCCACCAATACCTGGCCAAAATCTTTTTTTTAAAGAATATTTTTAATTTGAAGGGGTTGCTAAATTACTCCTTTTATCTATCCTTCAAAATATGGATCCAGTTAAATCAGTGGTTCTCAACCTGTGGGTCACGGCCCCTTTGGGGTTCAAATGACCTTTTCATAGGTGTCATCCAAGATTATCAAAAAACAGATATTTATGTTATGATTCATAACAGTGGCAAAATTATAGTTATGGAGTAGCAATGAAATAATTTTATAGTTGAGAGTCACCACAACATTTTAAACAATGTATTCTGAGTGCTTGTTTGCGTGTCTGTATGTGCCCATAGAGGCCAGAAGAGGGTACAGGATTCCTGAAACTGGGGTCACAGAAACTTGTGTTGATGTGGGAACAAAACCTCTGCAAGAGCAGGCAGTGCTCTTAACTGCTGAGCTGTTTCTCCAGCACCCCCAAACACACCCCTCCACCCCTGAAATGACAAGCTTACTCAGATCACACTTCAGGAAAACCCAGCTGGAATTGCCCTGGCTTGTGTGTTTGTCCTCCCAGGGAAAGTAAATCTTCGTGTCAGAAATGAGAAAATGGGCTTATAGAGATTAAACATTTCACCAGGACCAGACCTGCAAAAGCAATAGGATTCTGTCATAGGGTTGCACGCAGATATGGAGCAGTGCTTTGGAAGAGGAACCTCTACCATACTGGGCTTACACCAGAACCCCGTCCAGACTCCCGACTTCACTGGTGTGCTGAAAGAGCTTTCGTGTCATCCTTTGCCTTTGTGCTTGTGTGGAAGCCCAGGAAGAGCAGCAGAAAAACTGCTCTCCAGGGAATAAAGGTGCTGAGGTGAGCTGCAGCAGAGCCCCCAGCGCTAAGAGGCAGCTAGACTCTGCAAGGGGCCTCAGCTGCCCTGGTGTCACTAACCCAAGTGGGGGAAAGCAAACCTAAGGAGTAAGAGTTGGCAGGGCGGTGGTGGCACACGCCTTTAATCCCAGCACTCGGGAGGCAGAGGCAGGAGGATCTATGTGAGTTCGAGACCAGCCTGGTCTACAAAAGCTAGTTCCAGGACAGCCTCCAAAGACACAGAGAAACCCTGTCTCAAACCCCCCCCAAAAGGAGTAAGAGTTATTACTGTTACAACTGCTGAATAGTTCAGTTGTCAAAGTCTGGGGGAACTCAATCCTGTTTTAACTCTGCTTCTGCCACTTAAAATGGACACAATTGAAGAATCACAGTTCTTTGGGTTTTTGTTGTTGTTGATCTTTTCTTTTGAACATAGAAACAGCCAGAAATCATTTGGTCAGAGCTTGGAAGTAGTGTGAGGACACCTTTGACTAATCCCAAATAGCAGATTTTGAACAAAATTTAATTGGTTGAGAATAGCCCAAGCATTCCTAACACCTACTCTATGGAAGCGCCATGCTGGCTGTTGGTCCCTAAGAACTCATGTGACAGCAGTTCTCAAGAGCTTTGGTTAAGTGTCGATTCACACTGACATGAGTGCTCAGCCTGGAAGAACACCTCCTGGCTATGTCTGAGCCTGAGTGGCTATATTCTTACTATAGCAGCCTTTATAACTTCTGAGAATCCACAAGGAAATTGATTCATCTGCAAAAAGAACACTTTTTTGAGTGCTAGGCACTTGGCAGGTAGTAGAAATAATGGGCATAAATGAAAGGCAATTATGGTCTAGCAAAACACAGCAGATCCATCTAACAGTGACCACATAAAAGAAGAAATAAACACTGGGGAAGAGAGGTCTGGGAGAGGATGCTGCCAGCTTCCTTGGAGTTGTAATGCCATTGGCATTTTTCTTTAATTTTCAAATTGGTATTTATTTTTTAATCTAATTTTATATTTGAGGAAAATTTACCACAATATATACATACATACATACATACACACTACTCTTAAAACTTCAAAGGCAGACACATGTAGGGGAGTTCAGGCGCCACTGTGTGGGAAGAAGCAGAATTAGCCAGCCATCTTTTGGATGTCCGAAGCAAAGCTGGGATTCCCTGGTTATTCTCCATAAGGTGCAACTTTGGAATATAATAGTATGCAGTATTTCTGTCTGGTTTGTAGTTTTGCAAGACAAAGTGACATCTCAGTAGAGTTTAGTGTTTGAAAACTTAGAAAAGATACACAGAATGAGACCCCTGGAAGCCAGTGATGGCTATTCTTTGTTCTCAGAAACACCTGGGATTAACTAAATCCCAGCAGATACACCTTTGAGGGATTTTTCTTTTTTCTCTCTCTCTTTATGAAACAGGTTCTCTCTATGTAGTCCTGGCTGTCCTGGAACTCACTATGTAGACCAGGCAGACCTTGAGCCCAGAGATCCACCTGTCTCCGCCTCCCAAATGCTAGGATTAAAAGCATGTGCTACCGCACCTGGCCCGAGGGAATTTTGTTAATTAACTCACTTAAAGTTAGAAGACCCACTTTTAGTCAGGAATTTTTGAAGTGGGAAGATCCACCCTTAATCTGACCCCACCTTCTTGGTGGTGGCCTGTGTAAGTAAAGGGCACGGGAGAAGGAAGCTTGCTCTCTTTGCCTTCTTGCCCTCACTAGAAGTTCATTCCTTCATTGGCATTAGAGCCTACTTCTTCAGGATTATGTCATATACTGAAGACGTGCTGAGACATCCAGCCTTATAGACTCAACAATTATTGGATTCTTAGACTTTCCGATGGTAGATAGCCATTGTTGGACTAGCTAGAGCATAGCCTATCAGCCACTCTAATAAATCCCATAGATAGATAGATAGATAGATAGATAGATAGATAGATAGATAGATAGATATTCATTCTATCCAATCTGTTCCTCTAGAGAACCCTAATACACCAGGTGAGACATTTGGGCTGCCAATCAATTTTTTGAGATACAGTATCATGTATCTAAGGATGGCCTGGAACTCCTGATCCTGAGCTGAAACTCAAGCCCAGCCCAAACTTAACTTGGAAAACAAAAGTCTATCCTACATGAGTGATTCAAGTATGACCCAAGCCAGATGGTGGTGGTGAATACCTTTAATCCCAGCACCGGAGAGGCAGAGGCAGGTGGATCTGAGTTAAAGGCCAGCCTGGTCTACAGAATGAGTTCCCAGGACAGCCTAGGCAACCAGAGAAACCCTACCTCAAAATGCAAAACAAACAAATAAAACCTGTTTCAAGTATTACCCAAAAGGGAGTCTGAACCATTGTAGGAAGGCCTAGGAGGCAGACAGATGAGCCAACCTGGAGTTTGCCTGAGGGCTTAGCAACAGGTGCTGTCAGAGGTACTGATCATGCCTAGCCAATGAGGGGAGACTATGCATTGTCACTGGATCAGGATGCAGCCTGGGTGCTGGGAGGAGAATATATAAGGCTTTCCCCTTTGCTGAATAAGTGAGTCTGCTGTTTGTCTTTTACCTGACTCCAGGGGTCTGTGCCGTTGAGTTCACGCCTTCTCACCCCCTCCCCCGAGGGAGCCCTTAGGATCCAGCAACAAACCCTGAATAAGGAGAAAGAAGCAAAGGCTTCTGGGCCCACTGAGAGTCCAAAGGCTTCTGGGCCCACTGTGAGTCGCTGTGATTCAAGACAAAGAGATAGCATGTGACAACACAGGCGCCAGGAAAGCTTTAGTGAGCATGGGGCAGGTCTTGGTCCAGCATGCTAAGTGCAGAGCCCACAGAGCCTGCAGGAGTGGTGAAGCTGTGGTTGGTTTCCCCCTTGATGCTAGAGCTTAATACAAACTCCTCTGCCCCACAGGGCATCTGGAAAGAAGATGTAGGAGAGCGACCAAATCAGGCAGTAAAAGGCGGTGAGTGAGAATGGAGAGATAAACAGCATGATAACACCTGTAACGACAGAAGCAGACACTCAGTTTCATGAAGTGTCGCCCACAGCTCCTAACCCACCCTCTATCCCTCACAGGTCACTCATGGAGCTGAGGAAACAGCAGCAAGAGAGCAGAAGCCCCATGTTTAAGTTCAGTATAGTAAGTATAGGTAAGCTCTTAACTGGAAGCCAATTCAATCACAGGATCCATTCTATTGATCTCAGACCAGAAGCCAAGTCCTGGCCAAGACTGAACTCAAGTTGATCAGAGTCTTTTCTAGCAGGGAGATCTTCTTTTTTTTTTTTTTTTTTTTTTTTTTTTTTGGTTTTTCGAGACAGGGTTTCTCTGTGGCTTTGGAGGCTGTCCTGGAACTAGCTCTTGTAGACCAGGCTGGCCTCGAACTCTCAGAGATCCGCCTGCCTCTGGCTCCTGAGTGCTGGGATTAAAGGCGTGCGCCACCAACGCCCAGCCCAGGGAGATCTTCTTAATAGTTTGGAGTTAAACATGCAAAGTTACATGCCTGAGACTGCTTACAGTATGGCCTCAGCTCTTACTCTGATACCTCTGAGTAATCAGAGTGGCTTGCTTTGCCCAGGCTGTGCAAGTACCTGATCTGTGTTGAACAGCCACTTCTGGAGTCTGGAACTCGGTACCTGCTAGGCAGAGGGTACCTATTTGAATCTCTGATGACCTTCCCTGGAAGACAGTACTTCATGTGAATGACCACAGGCCACGGCTTAACAATTGAGTGTGACTCTCTGGTGCCAGCTGGAGAGGACTCTGGGGAGCCAGCATCTCATTTCTGTGGTCACTTCCCATGCACGGTTTCCCTCTGCTGATTTTGAGCCATGTTCTTTTTGTTGTTGTTGTTTCTGGGTGGTTGGTTGGTTGGTTGGTTGGTTTTTCAAGACAGAATTTCTCTGTTATATCCCTGACTGTCCTGAAATTTGCTCTGTAGATCAGGCTAGCCTAGAATTTAAGAGATCAACTGCCTTTGCCTCCTGAGTGCTGGGATTAAAGGCATGTGTTACCTCACCGGCTCACATCCTTGTGTTCTAGCCAGTCTTAGCTATGAGTAGAACATGCTGAGTCCTGAGGCCCTCCTAACAAATCACTGAACCTGGATCCAGTCTCAGGTAGTCCCAAGACAATCTGAATTTCAGATTAAACACATTAGGCAAAAGGACTTCAAAATTGGTGGCACGCCTACTTAGTACTAGCTACTAGAACCTATGAATTGCTTCACTTACACTTCATAATGTTCCCATGACTTAGAATTACATCTGTTTTCCTTATAGGAGACAGAGGGGAAGTGAGCTATACAGAAGCCTGACTTAAGCCCAATTCTGCCTGGCCATTAAAAACTAGACATTCTTCATCAGTTAACAAGACCATGGGCAACAACAGTCTCATGACATGTTCTCCTGTGGCCAGGCTGACCTCAAACTTGCTGTGTAGCTGAGGATGGCTTTGAACTTCTGACTGTTCTGCCTCCACGTGTGGAGTGCTCAGATTGCAGGTGTGCACTGCCACAGTCAGTGTGTGTGTAGTACCAGAGAGCAAAGCCCAGGGATCCATGCAAATTAAGCAACTACTCGACCAACTGGACTACAACCTGACCACCATGTATTCTGTGAGACCCTGTTAGTGACAGGTGACCTAACAAAAGGGTGCTTCTGGGGAAAAGAATCAGTTAAGGATATGTGCTAGGGTTTTGTAATACTGCAATTGGAGAGCAGTCATTGTTCTGTTGAGGTGAGGAGGCAATGCTTAAAGCTAGAATTGTCCTTTAAAAGAAATAGATGGCAAAAAAGATGGCATTATCTCTCCAAAACTACCCAGGGGCCAGCTTCTTGACATCTGGAGCTCTGAAGGGAAACATAATGTCCACAGCATCCACTCTGAATGTACACAATACTGGCATTAACTGGTGTTAGAATCTATGAGGTACCATTTCCTCCTTAACTCATACAGCAAAGCAACCCAGGAGCCCCAGGCTAAGTGTGGTTTATTTTGAGCAAAGGGGATCAACTCCAGGAACAACAACCTCTGAGGGAAATGCTTGCTATGAGGTAGGCGCTAGGAGAGGGGAGGTAGAAAAGATGGAGCCAGCAATTGCCAAACATACTTTCCCAGAGCATCAAAACTTCTTGTAGTTACTCTTTTCTTAGACAGAATTTCACTCTATAGCTTAGGCTGGCCTGGAACTCACCATATCTTGAAATTGCAACAATCCCCCAGCTCAGCCTCCCAAGAACTGGAATTACAAGCCACTGTACCCAGTTTTGTTTGTTTCCAATTATTTTTGCCATTTTATTTGTTAGTGTGTTTTGGTTTTCAGTAACTTTCTCCTTACCTGAGGCAGGGACTATGTCTAGTTTACCAGACTGACTCCCTGTACTTGGCACATAGGCACACATGCACCCCCTAAATTCTACTGAACTCATTAACATTAGGTAGATATTATTGAGCACAGCCTAAACTTATGCTCTGGAACATGAAGAAAACAGTCCTCTACAGCGGTGAGTACATTTAGTATTTTCCAACATTAAAAAAGATAGTAAATATGTGCTATCAATTTACAACAAATTCAATGGTGAGAATGCATGAGAGCCAAGTGCATGGGCAATGCTGCTGTGAGACAGTGTGACCGTAAGCATCTGGTGACAGTTATTTGAACTCACCTCCCATATAAACCACTTTTTTCCAGTTCTCCGACTCCAGAATTTCATCATGTGGGTAGCAACTCTGGTCGATCATGAATAGAATCATGAGTGAAGCCATGCAGCAGAGAATAAATGTGTTTCCCTTGGTCAGAAGGCAGGTGGAGGCCAAAACGCAGGAAGCATAGGGGCAGGGTAGACCCTTGTATGCAGAGGGACCTCCTCCTAAGGAAAGATCATGGGATCACCTGCTTCCTGGCGCCAAGGGCATCTATCACTTCAGGTCTCCTCTCCCTAAACTACCAAATTCCCTTGGCCCAGGGGTGGGGAGGAGTGTGTAGGCCATTTGGTCATTACAAGCAGATGCTGTGCAGGTTTTGGTTTGTGTTGGTTTCTGGGGGACAGCAGGCAATCAGTGTAGACCAGGTGTGCCCACACCTTAAAGGGTCCTTGGAAGCAGTCTAAGCTTAGTGCTGGGTTTGCACACCCTTCCTGAGTGGTCTTAGGAAGGCAACTGCCCTCACTTTATCACAGCTTCTCCTGTCTGGGGAAGAGTGTGTGGCGCAGTGCTGCATACAAATAGAATACAGTATGCACAGCTGCTGAAGAAGCAAGGACTCGTTTCTCCCAGACCAGGGCTCTGCCAATACAGCCCTTCACCTGTAGCAGGCACGGGCTCATGAGGAGGAAGAGGAACCCACGAACAACCCCTGACTTGACTCCCAACAGTTTCTCCTGCCCCTTGATCCCTGCTACAGTCCTAAGACAGACTGGGTTCCACTCACCAGTTGAATAAAAACACAGGCGGAAAGAAGTTGTTAGCACATAGATGACGGCCAGGAACCCATTCAGAGGCCCATCCACACCAAGGAGCAGAGCTGAGGCCAGGCCAAAGGTGGTGAAGACAGCGAAGTCATTCAGTTCAAGCCCTGCTTCAGAGGTCACGGTTAACTCACAAGCATGCATTCTACACCCTAGCCTCTCTCGGGTAGCTGGTGCAGTGACAGTTGGGATGCTGGCATCTCAGAAAACAGCAGAGGTTCCCTAAAGGTGGCCTGTAGACCAAAGCCTGGGCTGTGCCCCCACCCCCAGCTCTGCTTCTGCTGGTGTTTGGCACTCAACATGGAAGGCTGAGTGCATGCGCTCACAAGCCTTGGAACCTTTTTCAGGCAAAATCTTACATGGAAACATTTTGAGGTATTTTAAACCAGCTGCTTTGCCTGGGAATGTTTCTCATCCCCTCACTGACCCTTGCCATTGTCTTCACTTAAGTAATAAATCTACAGAGGATATTCCTCACTTAGAATGAAGGTGACCCCAGTGAACACTTGGAAGGCAAGAAAGGATAAACAGAAAAAGAAACTGCTTGAGTGAACTCAAAGTGAAATCTTACCTCATAAAACAATAACCATAATAATGTTCCATGGAGCCTAAACACAAGACCAAAATCTTTAGCATATTCAAAAGAAGAGTAAATGGAATTAAAGAGGAGGGATGAGGAGGATAAAGACTATACACCAGGGCAAGGGTGGGGCAAAGATGGAACAGGGAACCAGACAGTGGTGGTGCACACCTTTAATCCCAGCACTCAGGAGGCAGATGAATCTCTGTGAGTTCAAGGCACCTAGACTACAAAATGAGTTCCAGGACAGCCAGGACTGTTACACAGAGAAACCTTGTCTCGACAACAAAAAGCAAAGCAAAACAAAGTAAAAACAGATGGGGAAGAGAGCCAGCCCAGGAGATGATGCAGGCTGCAGGCAGCCTCACTCCCGGGCCAGGACTGCTTCCACTATTAACAAAGGCACATGAACAACTGGGTGACCAAGGAAGGCCTGCCTGGCTTCACAGGACGGTGGTAGCCTGAGAAGGGCGCTGCCCAGGGCAGGGGTTAGAGGGGCCCGAGGTCTGGACTCACCCAGTTTGTGGCAGATGTTGAGGTATCTGGTCATCGTCCCTATTGCCATGTCTAACAGGAAGCTGATGAGAAGCATCCAGGAAGCACAGTGCGATTTCCTAGAGGGCAGGCCAGCAGGCAGCTTCTCGTAGTACCCACTGGACAAGTCCACACTCAACTCTTCACACAAGCACAACCAAGAGCTTTCCCTCACTCATATCCCTTCTGGTACATACTGCTTTCAGTGTTTTACACACACCCTCCCAATGCCCAATGCATAGACTTTTTATAATTTTTAGATTACTGTATGTCTGAGTTATTTTGCCTACATATACAGCTGTGTACCACATTGCTCAGGAAGACCAGAAGAGGATGCAGGATCTCATGGGACTGGAGTTACAGATGACTGTAAGTCAAATCCTATGGGCACTGATAATCAAACCCAGGTACTCTGGAAGAGCAGCCAGTGCTCTTAACCACTGAGCCATCTTTTCAGTCCCCAAGCCATAGTTTAAAGAGGTTCTCTGACACCCTTGACCCCCCAGTAATCACCAAGGTCCCTTCCAACTTTTCTTTTTTTGTGTGTGGAGGGATTCAAGACAGGGTTTATCTGTGCAACTCTGCTGTCCTGGAACTCACTCAGTTCCAGGCTGGCCTCAAATTCAGGATCCATTTGCCCCTGCTTCCTGAGTGCTGGGATTAAAGGTGTGTGCCACCACTGCCGCCAGTCCCTTCCAACTCTTAAGCCCCAGCGTATGTGATGATACAGGGTCCTTCCTAGTTCTCAGTGCAGCCTCTACCACTACCCCACTGTGACTCCAGATAAATTACCATCTGTCTCTTTAGGTCTCTTTCTCCGCTTGTGAAATGAAGGGCTTATGCTACATGAGTTCCTCTCCTTTCTTCTCTTTTCCCCTTCTCTCTCCTTTCCTTTCTCTCATTCTGTGGCAGTTTGAATGAGAATATCCCCCATAACTCATATGTTCAAATACTTGATCCCCAGTTGATGGAACTGTTTGGGAAGGATTAGGTGTGGCCTTGTTGAAGAGGTATGTCATAAGGACAGACTTTGAGGTTTCAAGACTCCTGCCATCCCCAGTGTCATTCTCTACCTCTGGCTTTTGGATCAAGATGTGAGCTCTCGGCTCTTTCTGCCATGCCCCTTTGTGCTGCCATCATGAACTCTTATCCTATGAAACTGTAAACCCAACTAAACACTTTCTTTTATAAGTTGCCTTTGTCATGATGCTTTATCACAGCAATAGGAAAGTAACTAAGACGTCTGTTCTTCAGGAGCCACTGACCCTATTTTTTGAAACAGTGTTTCTCACCGGAACCTGGGGCTCACTGGTTTGGCAATGCTGGATGGTGAGTGAGCTTCGTCAGCACTGGGATCCTGAATACACACCGCCATGCCCAGCCTTCTTACATGGCTGCTGAGAATTGAACTCAGGCCCTCATGCTTGTGCCACAAGCACTTTACTGACTGAGCCACCTCCCCTAACCCTGGCCTTAGATTCTTGATCCTCCTGCCTCCACCTCCCAAGTTCTGGGATTACAAGCTTATGCCATCATACCTGGCTAAATGCTGACTTTCCTATGACATTAATCACCTGGTACCTCCTCCTCATCTTCCTCCTCCTCCCTCTTCTTCAATCCTAGAGATGGAAACTTGGACCTCACACATTCTAGGCAAGTGCCCTTGCATTAGATGTGCCAGGTCAGGGTTTATGCATTCTTTCCGTCTCTGTGCTTTAGTTTAATTCCATTTGACCTGAGATCACCTTCTTTATGACATCTTGTCTTTTACATGCCTAGAATGCAAAATGAATCCTCCAAGAGAGCTTAAGAATTCTGTGCATTCTGCTGTTCTTGGATGAAACGTCCACAGGTGTTGATTACACCCAGACACCAGATGGTGCGGCCAGGATTAATGTGCTTGCTTTCTGGAGATTGGCAATAGGTATTGGCATCTCCAACTGTGGTATGGATCCGCTAGTGTCTGCCACAGTTCTCGTGGGCTTGATTGTGGCAAGGGTCCATCAGTGTCTCCCACATTCTCTCACATTTGATGCTGACTCTACTCTAAGTCATTTCCCAGAGTTCCTCTAGCCCTCACATTCTTCATTGTACCTCATCCATTATATGCTCCCATATGGTCCCTTTGTGAGCAGCCACCGTCCAAAGAGGTCCACTGCTAACTCTGCACTGGATTACAATGCTTAGGTGACCCAGCAGAAACAGAGAGGAGAGCCTGACTTTTGACCTCAGCCATCCCCAAACAGCTTCAACATTTGTTTAGACCACAACTGAGTATCTAAAGGGACTTGAGGCTAAATGAAAATAACAAATCCTACAATTATAACATAAATTACCCTCTCAGAGGATTTGGTTATAAACTGAGTTTTCCTGCCACAGATGTGCATTCTCCTACTTTATTAGACTCCAAAACCCCAAATTTATGGTTGAAAAACAGATAAAGAAGCCCTATGCTGGTCCTGGAGAATCAGGCACATCAGGAGTGCATCTGAATGAGTTTTGTTTAAAGAGCTGATCTGCCAAAGGCCTGGAAATAGAATCCAACTTACAAGGGCATAAATTGATCCTGCTTCCTTGGTGGCACCTTAAGTGTGACAGAATTTTCACAATGGTGTTGTCAGATATTCACATCATATGTTCTGATTCAAGAACCATAAAATATGAATGAAGCCAAGTGAAGTAGCTCACACCTCCAGTTCCAGCACTTGGTAGTTCACACCTACAGTCCCAGCACTTGGGAGATGGAAGCAGAAGAATCAGAAGTTCAAGGCCAGTCTAAGCCACATAGTGAGTTCAAGACCATTCTGGGCTCCGTGGTGAGAGGGTGGAGAGAGGAGAGAGAAGGGAGGTGGCTATGAATACTACTATGTATCTTCTTTTTTCCTCCTTCAGGCATTCTGAGATGCTATAGCTGAAGTAACAAGAAAGATTATAACACAAACTCCTCGTGCTACAAAAGGAAACTGAGGCTCAGAGATGTGACCGGACTGGTAGCAACATGGAGGTCATGATCCTGACTTTAAAACTACTATACTGTCCTCATCCCCAAGTTGATCTTTCAGCCACAGTGGCTAGATCTCTAGAATGTGCCTTCCCTTCCTCATGCCATAGGCTCCGGTTTTAGGCTAAGAGCAGGCTGTGTCCCAGACCTACCTGCTGAAGCTGCAGAAGATGGAGAAGAGCCCCAGAACCATGTTGGCCAGGGATAAGGCATTAATAACATCCTTCCAGGAAAGTTCAGTCATCTGAGAAACGGAATGCTCATGGCTCAAGATGCGCTGACCTGTGGCCCAGGAGAGAGGTGCACAGAGTTCCCAAGGCCAAGGGATCTCCAGAGAGGCTCTCAGGGACCCCCTCCCAGAACCGCACCCTCTCCACACTATCTCACCAACTGAGAATACATGTTAGCGAGGAGACACTAACTTGTTTGAGAAAGACAAGGTTTGGGAAAGATTAGCAGCAGATGAACTTGCATGGTCATCCCATCCTCCCTTGCCCTCATCCCATGGCACAGACACCCTCCCAGAAGCCTTTTGGCACCTCAAAGGCTTCCTCCTTCTGAGAGATAGAGCCTTGTCATAAATTAATGGCTGACTTGAGAGAGGCTATGCTCACTCCCTCAGAGACCTCAGGCCACAACACAACACTGGTTCCATCTCCAACAGAGAAGGAAATCAACAGAATGGGTGTGGACAGCATGGCTCCCCAGAACCTTGTGCTGTGTTCTTTCCTCTGGCCTGGGCCAGCTTAAAGGGTATACTCTTTTCTCCCCTGTTTTATGAATGAGGAAACAAGTTCAGCACATTGGAGACATCTGCTCAAAGTCACACAGTAAGTGAGGAGAAGCAAAGCCCTAGGCTTGATCCTCAATCTGCTGCTGTTTCTGACTCCAGCAGGAGGAGGTTTGGTGACTATGGCTAAGGAGTTCACTAGGCTAGGCTTACCAGATAGCCTCTGCATGCCAGAACAGGTCATGTCCAGGCCTTTGACCACCTATGGCATCTCTCACAGCAGCAGGGAATCAGCTTGCCTATCCATCTTCACAAACAGTCTTGGCTCTGTCTATACACTATGTCCAAACAAATGTGCTCCTTACACATCAACTGTTTATGTCCTGGGACAGACAAGCCCCACTGATGGGATAAACACATCAGCCACACCAAGTAGCCCTACCCCTGACTGATATGAGTAAATCCTCGTTCTCACATCACTTTCTCTTTAATCCTTCACTCATTTGGAGGCTCAGGCTTGGCCTCCAGACAACCCCTCTGGACAATTGCAGGCCTTTAAGGTTTAAGCAAGCTGGGCCTTGGTGGCGCATGCCTTTAATCCCAGCACTCGGGAGGCAGAGGCAGGCGGATCTTTGTGAGTTTGAGACCAGCCTGGTCTACAGAGCGAGTTCCAGGACAGGCTCCAAAACAATACAGAGAAACCCTGTCTGGAAAAACAAACAAACAAAAAAAGGTTTGAGCAAGAATTGAGACAAGGCCAGACATGGTGGCACACATCTTTAATCTTAGCACCTGGGAGGCAGAGGCAGGTGGATCTCTGTGAGTTCAAGACCAGTCTGGTCTATGTGATGAATAATCAGGATAGACAGAGCTACAATAGTGAGACCCTGTCTCAAAAATAAAAAATTAAAAAGGAATTGAGACAAACTATGCTCTTTTAAAAACAAAAACCTGCCACCAAGATGTCCAAAGCTGGGAGGGACTGAACTTGGGTCTTGAACTGGAATATCCCAAGGCATCACTGAAGGGTTTATTGTTCATATAGGCAGCCTCAGTCACCAAAGGAATCAACAGCTGTGTGTCCAAACCCATCAGGATTAAAACCTAAATTTGGGTGTTGGTGGAGCATGCCTTTAATCCCAGCACTCGGGAGGCAGAGGCAGGCAGATCTTTGTGAGTTCGATACCAGCCTGGCCTACAAGAGCTAGTTCCAGGACAGGCTCCAAAGCCACAGAGAAACCCTGTCTCGAAAAACCAAAAAAATAATAATAATAAATAAAAAAATAAAACCTAAATTGGGAAATTATATAAGCCCAGAAGACTGGGAATTAGGGGAAAAGATTTTGGATGTACCATCCCACTCCATGAACCTACACAGCCATCTCTCCTGTTTTAAGGCCAACCCAAGCAGGACTAGATAGCTCAGTTCCTGAGCCAGACACCTGTTCACCTGGCAGCCCACCTACCATCCCCTTGAAGAACAGCATTCCTGAGTCTCCAAGGCCTTTCATGGAAGATGAACAGATGGCCAGTCTCCCAATAAACATTGCCTCATTTGTACTGCTTCATAGATGTTTTCTAGTCCTAACTAATGATTAATCATCTGCTACACTGTCTACCCTGCTTACAAAGCACTTGAACACCTGGGATTCCCATCGGCCCTGTGAGCTCAATCAGGCAAGGGTTGTCATCCCTGCTTATACATCCCAAGTGAGGCAAACACAACAGAGAGGGAAAAGCCTTGTGAGAGGTCACTCTAAAGTTGCAGGATGAGATTCAGCTCTGCCTTGAATGCTCTCTCCTCTCTACTCTGCCATCTACAGCAAACAGGACAGAATGTTTCTCAGGCTCCTTTTTAGTCTAAGCTAAGAGAACCCCTGGGCTACTGCCTTTAGAGAACATATGGTCAGTCTACTGGTCTGAAGCAGTGGTTCTTAATCTGTCAGTCGTGACCCCTCTAGGGTTGAACAACCCTTTCACAGGGATCCCATATCAGATATTTATCTAATAATTCATAACAGCAGCAAAATTACAGCTATGAAGTAACAACAAAAATAATTTTATGGTTGGGATCACCACAATATGAGGAACTGTATTAAAGGGTTGCAGCATTGGGAAGGTTGATTGAAAACTGTTGGTCGGGGGAGGGGAGGGAGAGGGAACTGGGATTGACATGTAAAACAAGCTATTTAAAACTAAAATAAAAATAAAAAACATTGTTACAGAAAGAAAAAGGAAAAAAACCCCAGCATGACAGGAAAGTTACACAATCGCTACTGCAAACAATGGAAAACTGTTGGTCTAGAGACACAAATGTACATGTGGTCCCTCTATTCATAATGGCCCCTTATCTTACAGGTAGGAAAGCAAGACTTCCAAACGAAAAAAGGACTTGCATAGGAAATGGTGGAGCCAGAATTTGAACTGAGCCTCCTCTTACTTAGTTAAATACTATTTGTAAAAATTGCACACAGCCCCGGGAGCAAAAGGATGGGGATTTGAGAAGGGCTGTTTAAATCCACAGAAATAGAGCGTAAACTACTCACTCCTACAACAGGATACTTGTTTGGGGGCAAATCTGATGCTTGGTGCTGCTGACACAGAGATGACTGTGAACTATCTCTCAAGGAACAGTCAAGCAGAGGATGCAACCCAGCATGGAAGAAGAGGCAGGACCTGTGAGCACAGAGAAGGACTGGCCTGCCTCGGGGAGCCTTTCTGAGGAGGGATAAAGCTGAAGCTGGCTTGTGCCCCAAGCAGACTCAGTCATGTGCTTGCTTCTTGAATCCCTCTGTGGAGCCCAGCCCCACACCAGCCCTGCTCAGCTCTCCAGCTCCCCCCTCCAGCCCTGCTGAAACCCCTCTCCAGGGTCCTTCCTTGGTCCTCTTTGAGGAGCCTCCTCACCCCACAGAGCTTGTAAGTGTTCATTTTGGAAGATTTCTTGTGGTCACCGTGTAACACCTGGATTCTTTACAGGCTTCACCTACCTTGTCTTCCTTTTTCCCTACAGGGGACGCAACTTGAGTGCAGACTGGGGTCCCCTGTGACAAGCATGAGGCCTGACAATAAAAGTGCTTAGTTAATATAACACACCACTTAGCTCCTCTTGCTGCACTATCTCCAATGTACCCAGAATCTAACCCTCTTCATTGAGGACTCTGAGAAGCCATTTTAGATGAAGACCCCACAGCCCCTTCATTCCAGTCCTTATCATTTATTCACTTCATTCTTTCAGTTCTTTCCCTGTGCCACGCTTTGTGTGTTTTGAAAATAGAACAAGACCAGTGTACCCCCTTGGAAGATACAGTCTAGATAGAATGCTTGGAAGCTTGAAGAGACACGTTATGTGTAACTAGGGCATGTTCCAGTTGTCCTGGGTATACCAGGAAGCAAAGGCCAAGTCTGGAGCAAGGGAGTATTTCACCAACATGGTGACATTTACCAGGGTCTCTAAAGTGGGGGGCGAGGATTATGACAGTCAAGAATTAAAAATACAATGCCAAAAAAAAAAAAAAAAAAAAACGGGGCTGGAGAGATGGCTGAGAGGTTAAGAGCACTGACTGCTCTTCCAGAGGTCATGAGTTCAATTCCCAGCAACCACATGGTGGCTCACAATCATCTGTAATGAAACCTGGTGCCCTCTTCTGGCCAGCAGGCATACATGTAGGCAGAACACTGTATATAATAAATAAATGTTTGTTTTTTACGAGACAGGGTTTCTCTGTATTGTCTTGGAGGCTGTCGGTCCAGCCCAGCCTCGAACTCACAGAGATCTGCCTGCCTCTGCCTCCCGAGTGCTGGGATTAAAGGTGTGTGCCACCACTGCCCGACTAAATAAATCTTTTTTAAAAAATACAATGAGGTCCTGGCTCGCAAAAGCCCAGTAACTGGAGATCAAGTTGGTGAGGTCTGAGCTGGGGCCTGCCCAGAGGTGACTGTGGTGTATGGAACAAAATGGAAGGGGGATTGGGGAGGAATCCAGGAACTGAAACTGATAGTGAATGTAAGAACAGCCCGGAGCGCCAGAATCACAGAGCTCACATGACTACGGGTTTCTGGAAAGAGGGATGAGTGACGATGAGGGTTCCCTCACCAGGCAGCCTGAGTGGCAGGTGAGGATGAAGGTGTCCTCTCCAGCAGTGGTGTCTCTTGTCCTTCTTCATCGCGCACACTGCCACCCCTTCCCTGGAGGCCAGAGGCCACCTCCTGCATGCAGACCTGGCTGACCACTTGAGAACAGGACACTGCTCTTTCGCCAGCCTCCCCGCGGGTTGTCCGGGTAACCCCGTTAAACCCAATTCTGTCGGATGATATGACGATGGGCTGACTGGCCTGATGTCCCTGTCCCTCTTTCTTGCCCCACCTGCTCCATGTCAGCGGGGAATGCTCACCTGGGGATCAGACATTCCTATATGGGGCTGGGGCCCCGCCCCGCACTCTTTCCTGCTGTTGTTGAAGTGGGGGTCCAGCCCAGGCGAGGATGCATGGATGTGGGTCCAGCCCCTTAGCCTGGCTCTTAGCTCACAATTCCGAGGGCAGGGGAGGGGCTGAGGAGCCTTTGGACAGGGCCTCCATTTACAGATCTCGCAGTGGGCAGCAAGGGGAGGGGCATGGCGGACTCTCAGGGGAGGAGCCTGCTTTCTCCATTCCCTTGAACCTGAATAGAACCATCACTCACAGAGGGCTTCTGCTTGGTGCAGAGACCTGGTTGTTGAGTGCTTGGGGTTGGAGTGGGCAGGGAGTGAGCAGAAGACTGTAAAAAGACTGGGATCCTCGTCGTGAAGAGACCCTTAAGTGTCAGTTCCAAGCAAGTATGGCCTTTTATAGGATTGGTTCTTTGTACCTACAAGGTGGTGTAGACATGCAATTTTTTTTGTTTGTTTTTTTGTTTGGTTTTTCGAGACAGGGCTTCTCTGTATTGTTTTGGGTTTTTTTTTTTTTTTGGTTTTTATGGGACAGGGTTTCTCTGTATTGTTTTGGAGGCTATCGGCCCAGCCCTGCCTCGAACTCACAGAGATCCACCTGCCTCTGCCTCCCGAGTGCTGGGATTAAAGGCATGTGCCACCACCGCCCGGCAACATGCAATATTTCTAAAGAGGATGAGAACCTGAGGAACTGGAACCCAAAAATGAAGACAATGTTTTTAGGTCAGGTTCTTTCAGAAACAAGGTTCTGGCAGTCACTGTAAAGAAAGAAGGTAGTAAGACCAAAGCTATGTCAGGGGATGGGGAGGCAGTGTGGAGACTCCTAGAATATGAGGAAAGCCCCGAGCAAGGACAAAGGCTTTCCAGACGCTTCTGGATTCAGCAGTTGGATAGTGTGCCACAAAAAGAAAAAGCAACTTTTCTGAGACAGGGTTTCTCTGTGTAGCCCAGGCTGTCCTGAAACTCACTCTGTAGACCAGGCTGGCCTCTAACTAGGGATCCATCTGTCTCTGGACCACAGGTGTTGGGATTAAAAGTGTGTGCCACCACACCCAGCAGTAAACTCTGTTTCATTTTTGTTTTAAGATACTGTCTCACACTGTAGACAAGGCTAACCTGAAACTGTAGCTGAGGCTAGCAAGCCTTGTTCTCATGTGATCCTCTTGCCTCAGTCTCCCCCAAGCACTGGGATTACAGGTGTGAGACAACCACCACCTTGGAAAGAAACAAGGCTGGATAATATTCTAAGGTAGGGTCCACCCTTACCTGTCCCACATCCACAACACGCTAAGGCTAAATAGCAGCAGCAAGAGCACCCAGGGCCCAGAGAATATGCAACAGAAAGGGTGGGGCTAAGATGTCATGTGACAGCACAATCAGCCTGAGAGAGGATCTGGCTGAGGCCCAAAGGCCATCTGGCAGACTCTGGGCTGGAGGGTGTACACAGCATCTCCCTGGGTCTTAGACGGGCTCTGCCACTGTCTTGTTCTACTCAAGGAAATGGTGGACGAAACAGTTCATTTATTGTCAACTCCACCATTAGTCATCAGCAGACCTGGGCTGGGGATACAGCCTTATTGTAAGCACTTGCTCAGTGTGGTCAAAGGCCCTAGACTTAATCCCCAGCACCTAATATTAAAATAAGAACTTTAAGAGCTGAGACCTGAAAAGAATCTGACTCTAAAGTCAGACCTAGGTGTCGGAAAACTATGAACAGGCTGGAGGCCAAGAGTGTGCTGCAAGTGCAGTCAACACCACTGCCCTCTACGGTCCCTGTGGATGTTCTGAAACAGATGCTGGAATGACTGCTAGTGTTCCAGGATGCTACTGGCAGTCTGTGGAGACACTCAAGGGTGGGGAAGGAAGCAAGGAGGCCCCCAGGTAAGCACTGCCTTATTTAGGCTAAAGATACAGGTGGCTTGGACCAAGAGTGATGAGAGGGGGTCAGATATGGGGCTGTATTTTGAAAGCAGAGGTGATTGGCATGGGGAGAGCAAATGGAATAAAGGATAGCTTAGCTTTTTTGTGAGATAGGTGGCCACGGGAACGCAGAGGATGTGAAAGGTTTGTGGGTTAATTCAGAGTTCTTGTGGACACATTAAGGTTGTAATGATTAAGTCAAGCAGAGAAGCAGGACAAATGTGCATGAGCAGAGTAAGATCAGAGCTAGGAACATGAATAAGATGGCAGCTTAAGGGCGCTAAGGCCCTGGGAATGGGTTAGAGCATGCAGGATGGAGGAAGTGCCAAGAAACTGGCCCCAGAGGAGGTTTGGATCCAGAAAAAGTGAAGTAGGAGAGATCAGGCTAAGACAATACTCCAAATCAAGATGAGGACACTTTCAAGCGGTGAGAGATCCCACTGAACCAAATCTGCTTACAACCATCCAAGTTCAGTTTCTCCAGGCACTCCAAGCACGGCTCCTTAGGAAATAAACTTACCTTCTGCACACAAGTTTGCACGTGGATTTTAATGCCAGAGACATGGGTTATGCACAGCATGTTAATGAAGCTACTTCTCTTGCGTTGGCTAACCTCTATATGCCAATCCCTGGACACTGAGTGAGCAACTCCCACAGTGGCTCATTCTTATCTTGTTTTTTATTTTTATTTGATTCTCAGAAAGGCTGCCCACCTTGGTTTTGGGGGGAGGGGAGCTGGGGCCCATCAACTAGGCTAGGCTGCCCAGTGAACTCATTCTTACCAGAACTGAGATTACAAGTGTGTATGATCATGCCAGATTTTTAAATTTTATGTTCATTGATATTTTACCCTCATGTATGTCTATGTGATGGTGTTAGATGCCCTGGAACTGGAGTTACAGACAGGTGTGAGTTGGCATGTGGGTACTTTGAATTGAACCCAGGTCCTTCCTCTAGAAAAGCAGCCAGTGCTCTCAACTGCTGAGTCATTTCTCCAGCCCCCATGCCCAGATCTTTTAATGTGGATACTGAGGCTGAGACTCAAGTCCTATTTATGCAGCAAGTATTTTACTGCCCATCTCCCTAGCCTCCCCCCTCCACTTTTTTACTTTTGCAAAACAGAGTCTCCATTGCAGTCATGAAAGCCAGTCTGAAGCTGGCATCCACACTCCCGTCTCGGCATTTCAGGTGCTGAGAATACAGATGTGTGTACTAGAGACATGCATGCATGCACCCCACAGAGTTTCTCACTGTAAGCTCTGTGTGGCTCTCACTGTTGTGTGGCTCTAAGACAGATGGCTCAGCAATGACGAGTGTGTGCTGCTTTTGCAGAGGACAATCTGATATCTCTGGCCTCTGTGAGCACCTGCACATATCCACTGGCCCCCAAAACAAAGTGACAGGCCACTGACTTTTAGGAGCACTCAAATTCCAGATATGCTAACACAGAAGAATTCCACAGTACAAATGACACAATCTAGCACCCCACACTCCAGTGCTGATAGCTCAGCCCAGCCCCTCATTGTCTCCTGTTAGAGGGAGAATGGAAGCTCTTCACGCCCTCCCCTCTATCCAGCCTCTGCTGCTTCAAGTCCAGTAGTACAGACCTTAGTTCCCTTCCCATCACCCCAGCCAGTGTTCACTTCAGCTACTTTACTTCCACTGCTATCAACACCCGTTATTTTTGTCAACTGCATTTCTCTTCTTCTTTCGTTGTCCTCTTTAATCATTAGAATTTTCTAGCCAGAATAGTCTTACTACACACACTCCTTGTTAAGATCAGGACTACTTTGCTTGATGAGGTTAAGAGTATATCCAATAATTTCTACCCAGAAAGAACCCTCCCTAACCCTGAAAGACAAGCCTCATATACACAGGGAGTCTTCCTTTCAATGTCTCCCAGTATTCTACAATGTCTTATGCATACCTCCACTAAGCCTTTACACCACACTGTAATCGTTAACCTGCTTGCTGTTCTAGCAGACTGTGTGTTTTTTTGGAACAGGGCCTGGTGCTGAGACATCTTCTAGAGCCTGGAAATGAGAAGGCACTTATTGCTTAGGAAATCGCAGAACAGAGGGAGAAGTGCTGATGAACAAGTTGCTGCATATACTCACTGGATCTCAATCCCCCATTCTGACATTCATTATCAACAGCCATCCATCCCTCAGCCAGGCCATCGGATTAACCAGGGAAGAGCACTGGCACTACCTGGTGGCCAGAGCGGGAAGTACATCTTCTTGGACAGGAAGTTTCTCTTTGGAAAACATTGCTCTCCAGGCACAGCTCACAGCTAGAAATGTCAAAAGTGAGAAAAACCTGTCTTTTCAGTGTCTCAGCATGATAGCTGCATGCCAAAGGGACTGAGAAAGATAGAGGAGACTGGAATGTAGCCAGAAGGTTATTTTGCCAATGCTGAATGTCTTACCATCCAATCACAATCACCTTCAAGACTGTCTTTTACCCAAGATTGGTTACTTTTTCTGTCTCACCACTAGTCTCTACCTTCTGGTCTCCATGCTCGTGTGTAACGCTTCCCCTCAACTGTGGACTGACCTAGACACTGGATTCTAAACAGAATACAGCAAAGATGATATCATTTCTGTGGTGGCACTACCTAGGTTGGAACGTCCATTCTGCTCGTGAGCTCCCTCCTTTCTCTCTCATGCAGTGTTCCTGTGATTGCAGGGACTTTTGTGATAAAAAGCCGAGGAAGGCCGAGAACCGAGCCCTAGTCAAAAACTGACTGTAGCTTTGCAGTATCAAAGAAATCCTGAGACTAAAGGTGCAGTAAAATCATGATAGATGAGTGTCCCTTTAAACCATTACCCTGTGGCAATTTGTTTACTTCCTAACTACCCAAAATCCATCATCACCACACAGGTCAGAACCTCCTGAAGACCTTGGCAGCGCTCTGCAGTCAGGATCAGCTAACACGCCAATAAAGTCTGTCTTCCAGTTCTGCAGCTTACACAAGACCTTTCTTGTGTGCTAGGTAGGCATGGACTGTTTCTAGCTCACAAAGTGCACTGTTCATATGAGAAGCCATGAACACTAGGACAAAGTGCATACCCAAAGTTGGTCTTGTGGACTCAAGCACATATTCCTCATGTTCTTTAGAATATATTTCAAAAGACTACATGGCACAGAAGCAGCAGTCACTCTGAATATGCTCTAAATTTAGCTAACTCAGCTAAACAAATAGGAAAGGAGGTAGAATCCAAAAAAGCTCACTCAAAGTCAGAGTTTTGGCCAAGAAAGGCCCTGTTCAGTACTGCCTGTCTGCAGTAGTACTGGAGATGAAACCAGAGTC